TTTCCCTGTGCTTAGAAACCATAAGGTGCTGGAGACTTCGGTTTTCATTTTCTCTGAAGCTGAAGTAGTTTTCAACTAGGCTTATTTTGGGGCATGGGTGGCTGGGTGGGTCTACCAGTAGAAATGTAATGCATACATAGTGTGATGTTTTGTTGTTGTYGCTTTCTGAGGTGAACTGTATGCTTAACAGTGGTGTATATTTTTATTKTCAGATTGGAATCCAGCTGATAACTCATTTATATACTTGATTATACTGCAGTTGTCTGCAGGAAAACAATGTGCAAACATTTTTAAAAATGTATATAAAATAAAGGGCATTCTGATTTTTTTTCTTTTTTTTAACATGGCAAAGTAAATCTCAGTGTCTCAAGTCTGGATTTAGGCAACTACCTTTACTAGTATTTTRAAATCATATCCCTTAGCATATTGTTTACTTAGTTTTACTTAAATGTTTACTTCTACTTTTGAGATTTTTCTGACATCATCTTGTTTTGTAGYGTAAATTTTATTAAACACCAATACACACATTTTCATTCTTGCTAAAACGTATACTGTGTGTACTCACTAAATTTGAAAACATTAAAAATTATTTCAAAATAGCCAGTGTCTCTCTTTTCTAACTACTTTTGGGTAGCCTGGGGGTGGGATATTAATTATAGTTGTTCTATCGAGATTCTCATGCTCACTGCCAGAGCCTTGCAAATATCAAGTCATGTTCATTCATTCAGTCAGCCAGCCAGCACCATTCGGCTAACAGATTCCTGTTGAGCCTCTGCTGTGTGCCAAGAAGTATCCCAGCTTTCATACAGAGATGCATAGACAAATGCTGTCCTGAAGAAGTTTATAATCTAGTAAAAATACAATAACATTTATAGAATAAATATTATTAGTGCTAATGATCATCAAACTATGTTTTGTGGAGAAGATAATTCTTGTGCTAAAACATGAAGGCTACATAGAAATTTGCCAAGAAGTCAAGAAAGGAAAAAGCACAACAGACCAAGTGCACAGTGGGTACAGCATTTGGAAAAATGGGGAGCCCAGGGACTAGCATAAGTTGTCATACACATATGCACTCATACAGGAACACATATGTGAACAATAGAAATAGACTCTGGGTAACTGAAGCAGTGGAGGAGTTTTTTGGGGTGTGTGGAATACCTCATAGAATCCATTTAATCAGAGGAATCAGGCTAGGAAATGGGTAGGAACCAAAGTAATCCTAATTGCAGGAATCTAGCTATGCTGGTTTCTGCTGTGGCTTCTGAGATTGATTTCTGAAATGTGTTTGTTGTTTTGCCTCATTTACATAAAACTTAAAGTTCCAGACGATGACATTTATTTGAGTGAGTCTAGATCAAGCACCCAGGCTCTAATAGATAGTTGACTCTTATACTCCTGGGATCCCACTAAAGTCAACCTATTTGGGATTTTCCTGCTGAGGAGCAGAAAAAGAAACCCACCAAAACCACCAGTCATGAAGTTCTTAAGAAATTTGTATGAGCAGACCACACAAAACAGCAGTATTTCTGAAAGTGATTTTTTAAAAAAAGAATAATTCCTAAGGAAGGATGTAGAAGTGAACCTTTATTAGAATGTGTGGATGAACTGCTCTAAAGTCTCTGTGGCTTCCAAATAAGCAATCATAGTTCAAAGGAACCAGAAAAGCCCTCAGCATGCTATATTCTCTGAAATAAATAAATGAAAACCTTTCCACTCAGTGAGGGAGTCCTGGTGTCTCCTTGAGTCTTCTGGAATCAGTGACAGCCTTCTGCAAGTAGTGAAAATGGCCCCTGTCCCAGAATCTCCCCCCCCCCAACTCTCCTCTTTCAAAATATCTCCATACAATCCAATAAAATAAATGAGAGAAAAAAAACAGAGGGTGAAATGGAGGTACACCTACTCCATTCAGCCATCCAGAGACCCAACTTTCATCCATTTTGAGACTCTACTGTCTTCAGAATTCTCTCCATTCACTGAATAGATGGAGAAAGAAAAGGATTTTCCATTTCCACTCATGTCCCACTGGCAGTATTCAATCATGTGGCCTTATTTGACTGCAAGGGAGGCTGCACATGTGCCCAGGAGAAAGATATTGGCTTGCATATKGGTAAGCATTAGTTAGTCTCTGCCTCAGTTCTTTCTAGCTTCCTTGAATGAGCCCCAGTAAACTTTCTTTTTAGGGAAATAAGTTGAAAACTGGTGCCTGCTCTGACCTTTGGTGGTAACTCCCTAGAACACTTTGTGGAGGGGACTTTGAAGCCAGGTTTAGGATAATTAATGGGGTTCTATGGTTGATTAGCCAAGGATGCTATGGGCATGTGGAGGGACACCTTTTGTGCAAGCTTTTTTTTTTTTTTTAAACTTCTCACTTGTATCTTTCTCAAAATCAAAGTTCAGCCTTCTAGGGGTGTTAAGTTCCAAAGTTGTCCACTCATTGCTCAGTAAAAAGTAGCATGGGACTGAGGGTCATGAGATCTGAGTTTGAGTTACTTCTACAACTTAATAGGTATGCGAACCCAAGTCAGTCTTTTAATCTCCCTGAATCTGAGTTTTCTATCCTACCTGTCTACCAGACAACCTGTTTACCTCACAGAAGTATTCTGAGGATCAAATGAGATGTATTTGAAATTGTCTGCAAACTCTAAAGTATAATGTATTCAGAATACATTATAGTAACTATAATTTATGAGTACTAAATCTCTTTCAAGCTTCAAAGGGTTTTAGTACTTTGAGATGCAATGATTAAGTACTTAGCTACATAAGGACAAAAATTATCATATCTCATCAGAGCCACGGTTCATTAAGCCCAATATTGTCATTGGCAGAGAAACTCAAGGGTAGGTGGAGGGCCGTGGTTGTTGTCCTTGATGCCAACTTCAAAGGACAGTGACAAAACACAATGTATTTTAATTTCATTAGTAAAAAATTATGAGTTTAATCTTCATGATTCCATCTAAAATTTCAAAAATTTCTTTGTATTATAGCTTGTTTCCTCTCATTCACTATTTTTGGAATGACTTTTTCTTGTAAATTCTAAGCTTACTACGTTCATCTCTTTCAGATTTCAAGGGAAAGAAACAGAGTTTTTATAAGGCTTTATGAAGAATAAAAGAAACCAGGTAATCCTGTCTCAGCAGTTGCAATTTCAGGTGTGCTGGAAAAGCTGAATATATCTTTTAGAATGTAATAATAAKAGCCACTGAGCACTTACCATATGTCATGGACTTCCTAAGTACTTTATATAAATTATATAACTACCAACTTGCTTTCAGGCAGACTGACATTTTCATATATGCAAAATGAGACTCAGAGGCTAAGGAACTTGCCCAAGGTCACAGATCTGCTAAGTGAACCTAAGGAAGGAGTCTAACTCTTGAATGAGTGCTCTTATCTACCTGTTATAGCGGCTCCTCTGAGCATCCAACAAGAAGCATTTCTCAGTGTTAAGATGCTACCAAATGCTGACTTGGCATTTACTTCTCAACTTCTGTTTCTGTCCTTCCTTTCTGTGTAACTTAATTAAAAATGTCCCAACAGAGAATATGATTGAGTTTGTTTGCCACTAGTTACTATGAACATATCCCTGCGTTGGGTAAGGTTCTCATGATAAACGTCCTTGGCCCTCTCAGATCTAGCCTATGGGGCTGTCTGTGGGGGATACATGGCCCTACTGGTTTTCACAGGATGATAAGGACACATCATGTAAAGCAAAACTTTTCAGAGGACTGTGGGAATGKCAGGCAGCTGAAGATTTTTGAACTTACAAGTCTTGCTCAAAATGCAAAATATTCTCTGCTTACAGTACTTAGAAACTTTGGTCCACATTCTCTCTTACCTTGCTGTTTGTGAAATGACAGAATGCAGGGACCCTTTCTATCCTTGCCTTTTCAGTGTTGAATCCTTTCTCTGATGCTGCTTCTGGTCTTCTCCAGTTCTATATATTTAAATTTATCCAGGTGTAGAAATCAAGACTGAACACAATCYAGTCTGAACCAAGGTTTTAAGAAGAGAAGGTATATATTTTTTCTCTATTATCTTCATGTTGAGGCTTCTCAGTAAAGGTCGGGCGAGCGTCGGAGGAAGAGACCACCAAGAGACTGTCTCATGCAACAGCAAGGGGTTTATTGGGGGACCAGTATGCTGGGGCTCAGAGCTCACTTGAATAGAGCAGAGAGAGCCCTGAGAACAGCTTAAGCAGAGCTTATATACTTTTCTTGGAGAGGGCAGGGAGGGAAGTTCATTGATGGGTCAGGGCCAGTGGGCGGTTTGCCTGCAACCGAGTGAGGGAGTGCATTCTGCAGTCTGGCAGTTGGGGACAGCACATTCTGGGAACAAGATTAGCAAACAGTTCTCAAGATTTCAACAGTGTTTTGTTAAGCATACAGAAAAACGGAGTGACAAGTACCTATTTTATTAACCTTTCAGAGAAGGTATATATTTTTTCTCTTATTATCTTCATGTTGAGGCTTCTCAGAACAAGGTCCAATTTCTTTAACATGGATTAAAGCCAATTAAAGCCTGGCTCTCCTGGATCTTTCTATCAGCATCTACAGACATGTCCCTTGACATGCCCTACATGAGAACCATTCTCAGTTGCCTGGATGTGGTAGAATGTACTTTAAAGCCCTCATGCTGTTGCTGACTGTTGAAATGCCATTGATCCGTCTCCCCATGCTTTCATTGTAGTATTAAATACAGTGGTCAGATAATTATGGACTTAAATTCCAAATGTACTTGGGCAAATATTGCTTAACCACTATGAATCTTAGTCTTTCACTTGTCAAGTGGGGATAACCATATTTATGCCCCAGGGATTGACCATTTGACTAGAGAACATGTTTATAAAGGGTAGATTCCAATGCCTGGCAAGGAGTCACACTTGGTAAGTGGAAGCTTTCCCTTATATTCCAGAGCCAACTGGGACTCTTCTGCCTTCTCCTTTTCCTTGCTCTTCCATCATCAGTGCCTCCTCCCATTCTCCTACCTCTGTCCCATGCATTGGTTTACTTCTCATATGGCTACCACAACATTTTTTTTTTTTTAAAGAGAGAGTGAAAGAGGAGAGAGAAATTTTTTAATATTTCTTTTTTAGTTCTCGGCGGACACAACATCTTTTGTTGGTATGTGGTGCTGAGGATCGAACCCGGGTTGCACGCATGCCAGGCGAGCGCGCTACCGCTTGAGCCACAACCCCAGCCCTACCACAACATTTTATATGTAAGGGATGGCAGTGTGTGCCAAGATGTTAACCATTTTTTCCCTCTAGGATCTCTTGGTCCTCTATTCAAAACATCAGTGACAGCAGAAAACAAATCACAAGACTGTTCTTAGTTTTTTGTTTTAAAAATCCAGCCTCTTAGGGAATCAGAGAGAAGGCATGAATTTGACCTGGGGTGCAGGTGTAACGCAGGATGGATTGCAAGTGATTAAGGTAGCTATGGTGTAATGGCCAACACTCCAGTCACTGTCAGCCAACTGTCACCAAGGAGGACTTTAGGACTACTACCAATCTCCTACTTTTCAATAGAAAACTTTAAAAATCAGGACAAAATAAAAATCAGGACAAAAAAAGTGAATATCAAATTTGTTATCACTCATTGAATTTTTGCTTTCAAATAATTTATTCAATACAAATTTATTCAGGAACAAACAATTGGGTAGAACCCAGGAATACAGAGACAAGAAGGTTCCTGGTGAAGCTCTCTGGAGAACCAGACACATAAACAGAGGATTGTGGTATTGAGTGATAGCAGCGGCAAGCTACAAATTATAAAGCTGAACTTGTCTTAACAAGCTCTCCAGGCAATTCTGATACTGCAGAAGTTGGAGACCCACTCTGATGGTGGAAAGCAAAAAGGACTTTGGAGCAGGGAGCCAATGCAACTGAGCCACCCTTGAGATACTGTCTTATATAAATCACAATCATAGTCCCTTCCCTGCTAGACTCTAAATGGGGTGCTTTCTGGTAATTCACAAGAATCAAATACAAATGTATCTTGTCTCTAAGAAAATTGAAGAACTTTGAGGGCAAGGCTGATTCTTCATTTATTTTTCTTCACTTATTTTCAGATGTCCATCAACACAGTACTTTCACAAGCATTGAAATTTAAGTAGCTAATTCAGAAATAAGACCAACTTMGTGCAAGGCTTATATATTCACAAATTTTCATAACATCGTGGTCAGACATTCATAAAACTTCCTATTTTCACCATTAAAAATGGTGTATAGTTCGGCAGATTAAGCACATTCACATTGTTGTGCAACATCAACACCATCTAGAACTTTTACCCCTTCCCAGATTGCAACTATCCATTAAGCAATTATTGGTATCTTTTGTTTTTTTCTAATGGGAATTTTTCCTATTGATTTATATTAGTTTATTTTAGGGAGACAAACTTTTTTAAAATACTCTATTCGTGGTGATTTTTTTATACAATATTTTGGAAAATTTTTAATTTTTCATGGAATCATAAAATCATGTTTAAGAATCCTTTTCATCAAATCCTGTATGATTTGTTGCCATCCTTGAAGTTCTTTGCCAACTCAACGTTAGGAATACATAAGCTTAGTTTCTTCTAGACCTGTTTTTTTAACACTGAGATATTTAATTCATATAGGACATATTAAAAGTACACTCAGATGTATTTTTCTCCCAAATGGTTCTGCTGTTCCAATGTCATTTCGTGGATTCCCGCTACTGATTTAAATGTCATCTTTTTATACTACTCCCTCCATGTGCTAGTAATTTACTCCCAGATCACWGGTCTAGTACCTTGGGAACTTACTACTGTCCTGTTATACCTTAATGCCCAAAGGCATCATCACTAATTTAACCGACTCTATTACTAGCCTTTGGGAAGTTTCTCATCCTCCCATAATGCAGTTTTGGGCTTAGTGAAGTAAATTCTCTGCCTCAGTAATTCAGGTTGCGCAAATTATCAATTCACATTTTTGTTGGTCTCCATTATTGGAGAATTGGCCATATCCTGTAAGCTCGGGTTGAGGATTATTAAGGTAAGACTTCCGACCTACACCAGAGGGCGCAGTTTCCAGGCTCGGCCTCGGTCACATCCGGTTTCCTCCCCAAGTTCAGTCGAGAACAGGCGGAACCTTTCTGACGTGCCTCGGTTGAACATACGCGGCGGGGACAGTTTAGGCCACCGAGTACCGCTGTTAAGGCGTGCTGCAGTCTGTTTGGGGCGGTGCAGGTGTGCGTGAAGGTTTTGTCTGTTTCTTCCTTTGTCGTGACCGACATGGACGTGCTAGCGGAGGAATTTGGAAACCTGACCCCGGAGCAGCTGGCAGCGCCGATCCCGACTGTAGAGGTAAGTGACGGAGTGTGGCGAGCGGAAGGGGCCGGGAGACATCTGAGGAGGCGTTTCCCGGTGAGCCGTGGTTTCGGAGGGGCGGAATAGCGGCTTCTGCGCATGCTCAGAGGTTCTGCGCACGCTCAGAGGTCCGCGCGTGCGAGCCTTTTTCCGATCCGGCGTCCGCGTGCGAGTGAAGGGACTGAATCCGGAGCTGTTTGCAGCGTCCGGGCCTGAGAAGCAGTGCGTTTGGTCCTCTTGATGGAGCTCTTACCGTATATGTGTGCATCGGCAAGGATTGGCCCTCGCATTCACCTTGGGGGACCAGTTACATCTTCACGGGTTTACAGAGACGTGCACTGAGGTCCAGGGGCGTTTAGGCCATTTTCATGAAGCCCCTCAGCTGCTGTAGTGGTGAAACCAAGTCGTGTCAACCCAGGGTAGTCATCATTCCTTTTAACCTAGAGTTAAAGTTTGTGCTGCAAGGCACTTTGCAAACGCCCTGAATATTTATCCAAAATGTTTCTTGTTTTCTGAGGGAAAAGCCCTATAACTTAATCAGAATTTCAGAGTTAAGGATAACTTTCATACAGCGAGCTGCCCAATGAGGTGCACCTGTTGCCATTTTTATTTTCTGGAATGGCTCTTATTGTAACGGKTTCACCTTGATGTTTTGACTATATTCCTTGTGGTTTTGAAAATTACGTGGTTTCTTTTCCCCAATCTTCTTTTCCCTAAACTTCTCCCTGGTTTTCTTTTTCCTAAACTACTACTTCCTGATCTCTCCTCCCTGATCTCATTTTCTCTGAATCACTTCTATAAAAGTTCCATATTCTTGCAGATGGACAGAATCACAGCCTTTGGGACCGGAGTCCTCTGTGTTTTTCCTTTGCTAGCAAAACAATAAACCTTTTTCCTTTTCACAAAGCTGCGTCCTTGTTATTGGGTTGGCATTAGGGACAAGGATGGAGCTTTCAGCAACATTATCATAGCCTTTTTGACCTTCAAAATCTTCATTGGCTTGGAATGGGAAAGTAGATAGTCCAGGAAGAGATTCCAGGTAGCGGGAACAGGGTGCTTGAAACCCCACAGCAAAACCATCATATATTTCTGAGGAATTGAAATAAATCTGGTGGTTCTAGAGTGAATGAAAAGAGGGGAATAAGAAATGAAGGATAGGGGCTGGGGATGTGGCTCAAGTGGTAGCACGCTTGCCTGGCATGTGTTCTGCCCGGGTTAGAGCCTCAGCACCACATACAAACAAAGATGTTGTGTCCGCGGAGAACTAAAAAATAAATATTAAAAAAAAAAAAAAGAAATGAAGGATATGTAAGGGTTCTAATTATGAAATATATTGTTAGACATCTGAACTCCCTGGGAGCTATAGAGCATTTAAAGGGTTTAAACAGGAAAGCAACATTATCAGTGATTCTGTTGCATTTGGAGCTGGGGGTATGAGTGTGAGGTGGGGTGGGAGCTCAGCAAGCACTGAATTCTAAGAACCTCTTTATAATTATTCGAAGCTTAATAAAGTTGATTACTGATCATTCCATCAGATTGAATCTGAGTGCCTGCAGCACACTGTTATCTGTCATTAGGCAATACTGGATTTTAACTTTGCAATTATTGATCCCCTACAATGTGTCAGTCTCTGTTTAGCCATAATATGTATTATATTATTTAATCTTTTTAAGTGCTGTTTTTACTTGTTTTACTAGTGTTCTACAGTAGTTAGATAAATAGTCCAGTGTTAAAAGGCTGGTAACTGGCTGATGTAGAATTTGGTCTTGGTCAGCCTGACTCCAGAGTCTTCATAGTTCACTGCTAACTAGACTGAGGAAAGAAGCCTGGTAAATTTGTATTTCTTGACTGAACTTGCAAACTACCAGTACCACAATTCCAGTTTTCTGATTTAGGAATAATAACTCTGTTTCCTGCATCCAATCCATATTACATCTTAAGAGTTCTGTTTTCTAAATATATACAAATCAGAAATCTCATTCCTGTGACTGTCCCAGAAGACATTAGATTTCCTTGCTGTCTGCTGCCATGGGTATCCCATCCATCCATCCTTCATTCCTTCCTTTCTTTTTTTCAGAGTAACAGATATAAGTTTATTGAAGGGATAAGAAGGGGAAAGGGGACACTCTTGAGGGAGAGAATGGGTCCTCTCAGGAGAAGAACCTCCTATTGTTTCTTAACACTAATGGTTTCTTGTTTTTCTTCCTATCAGACTTTTCCTTATCTTAGTSTGTGCTGTKCCCTCAGTTCTTAATGTTCTTATTGAGTGAATGAATATATGAATAACTTTTTATTGCCTTTGACAAATTAGAAGTATTTGGCTAGAATGTCATTTTTAAGTGACACTTTACTTATTTTTTTAAAAAAAATTTTATTTATTTATTTTTAGTTGCAGATGGACAATATGCTTTATTTTGTTTGTTTATTTTATGTGGTGCTAAGGATTGAACTCAGTGCCTCATGTGTGCTAAGCAAGCACTCTGCCACTGAGCTACAGCCCCAGCTCCACTTTATTGAYTTTATACTGCTGAATATTATCTTTGCATTTAATTTAATTTGGGGCATACTGAGTTTGAGTGGCCTCTGAATCCGTAAGATGTCTGTGTCCAGTCAGTAGAGTGCACAGATCAATACCCATCACCAAAGCACTGATATTCACTTATATCGTTCATTTATTCATTCAGTATTTATTGAGGGTCTTTTCCATGCCAGGCACAATGCTTAACAAGGTAGGTAGATAGGGCCACTGCCCTTGGAAGAATTTACATTTGGAGCTGGGGGAAGGAGTGTAAGGTGGTGTGGGGAAGCTCAGCAAACGTGTGAGATCTTGCATGTCCAGCCCTACTTGAGAAGGAGGAAGGATTCTCCAGGGGTCGGACTCTGACCAAACACCTTGACAAACACCACACATGCAGGGTAGGCAGAGGAAAGCGTAGGAAGAGGCCCAGTACGGAGGAAAGAGGTCAGAGAAGGAGGTGTCGCAGAAGGCTGTGGTCAGTATGGCTGTGGAGGGTCTGAAGGGAGTGAGTGCCCTTGGAGTTGGTACCTCTGTCAGCCTCCTTGCAGGCAGCTGAGTCAGAATCTGGCAGCCCTGGGATACAGGAGTGGGAAGAGAGGGAGAGTAGCTCGGCTCAGGAAGCGGTAGCTGAAGGGAAGAAAGTAAGGGAGAGGCTGCTGGGCCAAGGGAGGTTTTGTTTTTAAATGGAAATATGTAACAGTGCCATGGTTTTAAAGAACACATCAATTAAAAAATATAGGCTGAGTATCCAGGAGTGGGGGAAACAGAAATGGGATGAGGTTTCCTATCTTTTGGAGGAGATTGGRAGACAATAGTTGTGGCAGATCATCAGCCTCTGACCAATGATTTGGCTTTGGGATGTGAGGAAGTGGGTATGAGATTGGGTGGGGGGTGGGGTGGGGGAGGAATTTGAGATGTGGGAATAGGAACATGAGGGACTGGATTAATTTGTAGGATTGCTATAACAGAGTCCCACAGAAGCACAGCTTGAGCAACTGAAATTTAATTTCTCACAGTTCTGGAGAYCTGAAGTCATAGCAGAGTTGATTCCTTTTGTAGTCTGGGTGGAGAATCTGTTCCATGCCTCTCATCTAGCCTCCGGTAGTTTGCTGGCAATCTTTGGATCCCTGGCTTATAGAAACTTTGTCCTGATCTCTGCCTTCATCTTCACATGATACTGTCCTTAGTCATGTCTCCTTTGTGGAGATCAGCCAAGTTGAATTAGGTCTCACCCTAGTGACCTCATCTGAACTATTACATCTGTAACAACCGAATTTCTAAATAAAACTCACATTCTGAGGTACTAGGGGTTAGAATTCAACATAAGGATTTTAGGAGGACACAATTCATCTTTTGTTAGTTGTGAGTCTCCTCCTTTGCTGCAAACTGCCCGGCCCTGGGCCGGCTGAGTCCCGCTCCTGCTGCCAAGCACTGCCTGCAATTCATCTTTTGTTAGTTGTGAGTCTCCTCCTTTGCTGCAAACTGCCCGGCCCTGGGCCGGCTGAGTCCCGCTCCTGCTGCCAAGCACTGCCTGCAATTCATCTTTTGTTAGTTGTGAGTCTCCTCCTTGTTCTTTTTAATATTCACATATAATTTATTATTAAATTAAGTCTTCAATTACATTAGTTTTGATAATTACTCAAATAGCTGTTGTCCAATACATGCTATAGAACAGTTCCATTAACCTATGATCCTTTTCTATTCTTCCCCCSACCCCATCAACTTTTGAGTTCTTTCATTATAGATTGGTTTGGCTGACTCCTTTTTTTCTTCTTTTCTTTGGTACCAGGAATTGAACCCAGGGGCATTTAACCACTGAACCACATCCCCAAGCCTTTTTTTTTTTTTTGAAATATGGTGTTGCCAGGTTGTGTAGGGCTTCACTAAGTTGCAGGGGCTGACTTTGAACTTGTGGTCCTCAGTATGATTACAGACGTGTAACAATATGCTCGGCCTGGCTGACTCCTTTCTTAAAAGTGTTTCTACCATCTTCGGTTTGTCTGCTTCCCCTGCTGGCCACTCCTCAGTCTCCGTGGTTGGGTCCACTTACTCTTTTCATGTGTAGATGTTGGAGTGTTCTTGTTCTCACTTTGTGGAGCTCCTCTCCATTTCCACTCTTATGGTTTTAATTACAACCTGTTTGCTAATCTATCCTTAACTTACACCTCCAGACTACTCTCCTCCCAAATTCAGACCATGCGTTGCCTACTCCATGTTTCACTGGAATGTGTGATGCATATCTCAAACCAAATTTTCCCCCAAGCAAATTCCCATTGCCTCTCCACAACTAAGCCTGCTGCTCTTGCAAGGTTCCCTGTATCCTTGTCTCCATCAGTAGCTCTAGTCTGGTGGCCCTGTCCCTCCATCTGCTCTGGCCAGAAAACAAGGTATTGATTTTGACTCCATTTTATCGAGTCCTGTTGGCTATAACTGAAAGCTTGTCTCCAAACTAATAATTACTCACTACTTGTTGTTACCAGGTTGGATTGTGGCAATCAGACACCAAGTGATCTTCTTGCTTTTAATCTTGCTTATTCTTAAACTGGTAGCAGGAGTGATCAGTTAAGGTGAACTAGATCATCACTCTTCTGCTCAGAGCCTTCCAGTGTGTCTCAGGTCACCAGAGTGAAAGCCAGATTTTGCTCTGAGGTTCTACATGATCCTTTCTCAGGAATTGTGTAGTGTGACCTTAGACTCAACTGTAACCATATGTCAGCATTTCCATTAACAAATGAGATGCCATATGTGAAAAGAGACTATCATGGTAAGCAATAGTCCAGTGCCCCAAAACTCAAGAAGCGTGGYGGTTAGAATCATTTACTAGAGAAGCAAATGCCATATGTGCCACCCTTCTGCATCCTTGAGGTGTGCTCTAACCTGGCACCAGTGCAGAGAGAATGGGAGGGAGAAAGGACGACTCCCTTTGAGGCCTGAGACCCACTCCCCCACCAGATTCTAAAACTTACCATTCCTTTCTCAAACGAGCCAATCTCATTTACTAAGGAAGTATCATGAGAATAAAGTGTGAAAAATACTTGGAATCTTGAGTCATCAGGAAGAGATTAAATGTTAGTATGTTTAGGCCATCTATGATATATATTTATGTGTATATACATACATTTGAATGCATGTATGTGTATACACACACACTATTTCCATAAAAGGGGTTATAATTTTAAAATCTTTCTTTTTGTTTTGCTTTGTTTTGCTCACTGTGATAAAGTTTTTATAACTTCATTTGAAAGTATTATGGTGCTGGCATAGAGTTCTGATATTCTTTTTGTTTGGTTCACAGGAAAAATGGAGGCTGCTTCCAGCATTTTTAAAGGTAATTGTTTAACATTTAATAATTGGTTATATTTCACATGTTAAAAAAGTTAAAAAGCACCTTTTTTAAAATTGAATTTTTATTGCCAACTATCATGTTTTTACTTTGTATAATTGTGTGCTTTGCTAGATTTTGCCAATACAGGGAATTATAACTTTTTTTTTTTTTTTTTTTTTTTAGTGGTAGTCCTGGGAATTGAACCCAGGGGTGCTTTACCACTGAGCTACATCCCTAATCCTTTTTGTTTTTAAAGACAAGGTCTTGCTACATTGTCCAGGCTGGACTCAAACTTGCGGTACTCTTGCCTCTCCCAAATCTCTGGGATTATAGGCATGTGCTACTCCACCCATCTGGCTAATAGGAGGAATTTTAAGATAAAATCACTCCCCTTATGGTGCTGGTTGGGCGGGGGTGAGTGTGGGTTTGAGGGGTGGTAATCTAATTTTACAGAGAAGAAACAGTATATTTAGAAGCATGGCACATGCATAATTAGAAATAAAATACTGTTGGTCAGAGGGATGTTACAGGTGGTCAGAGATGGCCACCCAGACATGAACTGGATTTTAAGCATAAAGAGTTGAACTAAGCTGAAAACGATGCAGAAAGTATGGCTTACTCAGAGTGCTTAAGAGGAGCCTCCACAGCATCTGTGAGAAACAGAGACTAGTCTGTTTGCCTGGAATGAATGGGTAGATAGTCAGAGGAGCTGTTGAGTTTAATATAATATGGTGTAGGGCTTCAGTTTGAGAGGGCTTATGTTTAGTAGTAGGTATCTTAGTGAGAGCCCACTTGTTACCCACGAGGGTGGCTATAATCAAAAGTCAAGACAATATGGGGAAATTAGAATCTTTATGTGCTATAGGGAGAATGCACGATGTTGCAGCTGCAGCATTTTTGGTAAACAGCCCAGCAGTTCCTTGAATGGTTAAACCAATTTACCTTATAATCTAGAATTCTGCTCCTGGGTATCTAGCCAAGAAAAATGCGAACAAAAGTCCACCCAAAAACTTTTACATAAAAGTTGTAAATAACTTTTATAAGAGTTATTTATAAATATTATTTATAAATAATGCCAGCATTATTTATAAGAGCCAAAAAGAAGAAAAACTACAAAGGAACATCAACCAATGATAAGATTTCTTAAATGTGCTGTAGTCATACAATGGGGTATTACATGGCAATTAAAAAAGATCAAGTACTGATACATACTACATCCTGAAGGAATCTTGGAAGMATTATAAGTGAAAGAGTGGAGACTTAAAAATAAGCAGTTTTGTTAAGTCAGTATCACAGGCCGAAGGGAGAGGCTGGAGAAGTTGTCAGGGCCTGAAATCTGAACAAACTTAAAAGCCATGGTAAGAATTTGGCTTTTAAAAGTCATAAGAAGCTAATGAAGAGTTTTTAATAGAGGAGTGACCAGGCATGAAATAAAATGGTAGTGAGGTCAAGGGAAGGTTGTTTTTTGTTTTAGTTTGTTTTTAAGGAACTGTATATAAACAAAGAAGAGGAGTGGTATTTATGATTCAAAAGAGGAAAAGAATTGATGGCATATAGTCCAAGAAAAGGTGGAGAACTCACTAGAGATGTAAGATTGTGGTTATTGTATTTCTTCATTTAAGTTGGGGTTCTCCAGTAAGGAGGCGCCTCATAAAAATAAAAATAGATCTACCATGTGATCAGTTATCCCATTGTGGGTGTCTATCCAAAGGAAATGAAATTAGTATATCAAAGAGATATCTGCATGCCTGTGTTTGTTGCAGCACTATTTACAGTAGCCAAGATGTGGATCAACCTAGGTGTCTATCACTGGATGAATGGATTAGGAAAATGTGGTATATGTACCCAGTGCAACATTATTCAGCTGCAAAAAGAATGAAATGCTGTTGTTTATGGCAAAAAGCATGGGACTCAAGGACATTATTTTAAGTTAAAGAAGACATACAAAGAAAAACAAATGCCATATGTTCTCTCTCAAATACCATATGTTCTTTCTTATAAACTAAAGAGTTATTTCAAGGTAGAAAAGAGTAGAATAGTAATTCCTAGAGGCTAGAAGAGTGGTGGGCAATGGAGATGGAGGTTGGATAATGGCTACCAAAACACAGAGAGGAGAAATGAGTTCTGGTGTTCTCCAGTGTAGTTGAATGACTGTAGTTCACAAGTCTGCTGTATTTTAAGAACTAGAGGAAGACCCAAGGCCTCGCACACAAGRTAATGATAAGGAGAGGGAAAGCTAGTCCGTCAACTGGAAGGACTAGCTTTCCCTCTCCTTATCATTACCTTGTGTGCACATGTTGTACACATTGTGTGCACATGTTGAGATATCACACTGTAACCTGTAAGCATGTAGAATTGTGTTAATTTAAAAGAAAAAAATTAGAAAACAGAAAAAGTAAAGCTAGGTTTCTCTACTCAGACCACCTTGGAATGTATTTGTTCATGAACAGAAATGTAAAGATTTTAATATGTAACTAAATATTAATTCAAAGAATACAAAACTTGTAAGTTTTCCAGAAGGTGCTGTTTTGGCTGACAGCATCAGCACTCAGAAGTCTTTTTTGCCTGGAGTGACAGTGGTAAAGAAGGGCAGGTGTAAATACCTGTACTTATACGTTTTGCATAAGTACCAAATGGAGTGTGCTTGACTTGAGAGCATTTTTCTTTTTGGTGAGGATACCAATCACCTTTTGGGTTTTGGTTGACTTTCAGCTCATCATGAGCCAGAAATGTGAGCTGGTTTCCATAACAGAACTGTAATATTCAGCATGAGGGAGTATACCAGTCAGAGTGTTGAGCATGCTGCCAGGGAGCAGCATTCAGGTGCCCATGCTAGGAGGAGTGTTGGCAATCTGGAGTATGGGCAGAGCAGGCCACTGCAGCTGGAGGTTCTGAAAGGCATGCATGTGAGAGGTAGTTGAAGGGTCTGGTCTACTTAGAAGTGAGACCCTGAGAGAGAGGTGAGGAACGAACAGACGATCGTTCCTAGAGAGGACATGGAAATTGAGGGGCWTAATCATCTCTTTAAGAGACAGTTAAGTCCAACGGGTAGAAATAAAGAAGAAAGACCTCATATCATTATAAAGTTGAGTTTTTTTTCTCTGAAATCAGGACTGTTTCAAAATGGAATGGTTGCTTTGTAAACTAATGAGCACCCTAATAAAGGAATTACAATTAAAACAGGTTCTCTAGTTGTGTCTATTAAGAATATTCTAGAATTGTTGAATGGTATGTTTGAAGATTRATGTAAAAAATGAATATGCGTAGCCCTTTTAAACGCTGAGATTTTAGAGTCTTATGTGTTTATTTTGTCTTGTCCACAGCAGTACATAAGCTGTCATTATACAATTGATGCTGACTGACTTCTGAGACAAAATGGACTGCTGACTTGTGTCTGATCTTAGGTTCCCTAGGTTTCACCTCCCCTTTTGATTTTAAATGCAATTATTTTCATCTTTCTTAATATTGTGATCCTCCCTTATTCTTCTGTAAGATGGTATGAATGATTAGGGATTTATGAAAACGGGATCTATTTTTCATGATCCCTGATCAAAAGTCAGAATTACAACAAATTAAAAGATCTAATGGACTTTAAGTTGGGATGTTAGAATGGGACAGTACCCCGTGCTATAAAATCTACATATTCCAGCTGAGCTGAGCAGAGGAGGTGGGCTTTATAGGCAGAAAAGGTCTAGAGAAGGCAGAAAGAAGTAGCAAAAATTGGATTGGCCTTTTCAAAGTTACTTCCGTATAGAATTAAAACAGAGGGGATTTCCCTGTCATTCTGGTTCAGTTAAACTAATCTCCTTGTGACTAATTGCTGTCAATCGCCTATTTGGGGGAAACTGGCCTCTTTCAATGTTAGTGTGATTACATGGCCCTTAGCACAAGTGACTCCATTTTGTTTTGATCTGGTCTACTGGGACCTAATACAGGAGGCTAGTACAACAAAGAAAATAGATGTTGAGGCTTGAAGAAATGATGCTCAATTGCTATGTTCTCTGCCCCTCCTTGGATTTATTAGCTTCTGGGAAGTCAGTAGGTATATTTAAATACTCATATCTTGAATTCCAAAGGTCAGTTTGCTTCTTTTTTTAATATTTATTTTTTAGTTTTAGCAGGACACAATATTTTATTTTGATGTGGTGTTGAGGATCGAACCCAGTGCCTCATACATGCTTAGAGAACTCTACCACTGAGTTATAACCCCAGCCCTCAGATTGCTTCTTAAGGAGGAAAATTTGAGAGTGTACTAAGATGGTAGAGAAAAGYAATGACACATTAATGAAAAGTTTTGCTTCATCAAATTCATGGATATTTTCTTTGCTTTGGTTTTGAGAAAAATTTGATCATCATGTTTGSTTAGAGTGAATTATATAATCTGTTATTTTGTTAATGACCTACTTTGTATTTTCTGTCTGTTTAGGTGAAAGGCCTTGTGAAACAGCACATAGACTCATTTAACTATTTCATTAATGTAGAGGTAAGCATCAGATCTTAGACACAGACATAAGCTAAAATTTAGTTGGAAGCCAGAGCCCAGTTCCTAATGTTGCGCTTTCTACTGCAGATAAAGAAGATAATGAAAGCTAATGAAAAAGTTACAAGCGATGCTGACCCCATGTGGTACTTAAAGTAAGCAACCAACTATGAGTGTACTATTTTGATTTGTTGAACATTTTTTAAAGTGAATGTAGTTGCTGTCAAAACTTTTTTTTTGTGTGTGTGTGTGGTGCTGGGGATTGAACCCAGGGTCTTGTGCATGCGAGGCAAGCACTTTACCAACTGAGGTATATCCCCAGCCCATGTTGTCAAAACTTTTATAAAATTATTATTTTTTAAAAATATTTATTCTTTTAGTTTTAGTTGGACACAAAACCTTTGTTTTATTTATTTATTTTTATGTGACGCTGAGGATCGAACCCTGGGGCTTCGCACATGGTAGGCTAGCACTCTAGCCCTGAGCCACAACCCCAGCCCCATAAAATTATTTTTCAGTCYCTTTAATAAGGTATACAAACTGCTCAAGTTTAATTTTGTTTAATGTATTAGCTCTCTTTTTTAATACCTTTATTTGTTTATTTTTATGTGGTGCCAAGGATCGAACCCAGTACCTCACATGTGCGAGACAAGCACTCTACCACTGAGCCACAACCCCAGCCCCTGAAGTTTAATTTTTAGTTGGCAAACTAATTAAACAAGTAGAGTTATGATTGAGAAGTTACTAAAACTGTTTACATTTTAACTATTTTATACAAACTTTTATTTTAGTAATAATTTTATAATGATAAATAATAATTTTAAATAAATTTTAATAATTTATAATGAATTTTTAATAATTTAAAATAAGTTTTTAATAAATTTTTAATAATGTTATAATAGAAAACTTGCAAAAATAGTATGGAGTTCCCATGTATTCTTTACCCGGCTTCCATTAATACATCTTACATAACCATAGTGCAATTAATTAAAAAAAATTTTTTTTGGTAGTTGTAGATGGACAGAATGCCTTGATTTTATTTATTTTTATGGGGTGGTAAGATCAAATCCAGTGCTTAATACGTGCTAGGCAAGTGCTCTACCATTGAGCTACAGACCCAGCCCCCATGGTGCAGTTATTAAAACCRGAAAGTTAGCATCCATTCAGTGCTACCAAATAGTCTGTGTGCCTTATTTGATTTTTTTCTCACCAATGTCCTATTTCCGGGCAGGAATCAATCTGGAGCCCCTTGTTACATTTAGTTGTCTTGTCTCTTCAGTCTGCAATAGTCTTGGTGTTTTTTGACCTTGACGCTTTTGAACAGTCTGGTCAGTGTTTGCAGAAAGTCCTTTAACTTGGTTTTGTTTGATACTTGCTCATGATTCGATCAGTTATGCATATTTTTTTTTGCAATGTCACAGAAGCGATGTTTGTGCAATTTTCACCAATTCATATCTGGATACAGATATCAATATATTTTATTACTGATTTTAACTTTGTTCACTTGTTAAGTGGTATCTTCCCAGTTTGTCTACTATAAAGTTACTGCTTTTCTTTTTGTAATTAGTATCTTATGGGAAGATCCTTTGAAACAATGCCGATATCTTATTTCTCATCATACTTTCACTAATTTTAGTATATATTGATGGTTTATAAGACTAACCATAACAGTTATTATTGTAGTGTAATGGTGAATGTGAATCTCTGTTTCCGTCATTCCATCTGCTTTCCCTTTCCTCATTTATCTTCCTGTGTAGTAACTGATATAAATTCGGACTCATGGATATTTGTTTTATTCCCTTGGTCTAATCCAATACTCTCATGCTGTTGCTCACTCTGACTCAGCTTTGGCCATAGCACATCCTTCAAGGTGACTTCTTGCCCCGTTGTCTCTGATACCAATCCAACACTACAGAAAACTTTCTCTCTTTCCTTATTTGTAACTTCTGTCTCAGTAAGAAATATCTCATTATGTACAATTTTTTGATTTTTTTTAAATCATAGACTATACATAAAGTAACTTACAATTATTAACTCATATCTCTGTGAGATAGGCTCCATTTTGCAGGTTGTCTTTTTTGTCTTGAGGTTTAAAGTGGCCAATCAAAATGCTGTTTTTTAGATTCTTTTCTTTCCCACCTTTCAGTATAGTTATGCTCTTTGATGATACAATTAGATTTGTATTCTATTTTGGGTTCCCCTACATCCATGTTGGTTTTACTTATGCTTTTTGCGGGGAGGTTGTGTGAATGAACCATTGTTATGATGATGAGTTAGCCTCTACAAAATGTGTCTTCAAAAAATTGGTGCTTCCCTTCCATTTCCCAGACACTCCCTGTATGTCTCCTTGCTTTATCCTTCCCATGTTTCTTTTTGTATCAATGAGCATATATTTTCCCCTCTTATGTTCTCCTTATTTGAATGATAGCATATCATAGATACCCTTTTTGTACTTTGCTTTTTTCATTGTGTATCATTCTTATGGAGCTATATTTTCAGTATTTATATAAAGAGATTTACAATTTTTTAAAAGATACTTTGATAGTATTTTCTTTCATTTGTAAAACTACATGTACTATCACTTCAAAAAAATGTTCAATTATAATTTTTAATTTGTTACTCTTTGCAAAGTAATGATTTGTCAAAGCAGAATTCTTATATTTCGGAGAAAAATAGCTTCTTTTTTTTRAAAAATGTGTTTTTTGAAGAAATAAAATATATAATGGAATAATCTGCTTTTCAGATATCTTAATATCTATGTTGGGCTTCCTGATGTTGAAGAAAGCTTCAATGTAACTAGACCAGTGTCTCCCCATGAGGTAATTATAAACATTATTTTATTTATTTATTTATTTATCTATCTATCTATCTATTTATTTATTTATTTTATTATTAGTTGTTCAAAACATTACAAAGCTCTTGACATATCATATTTCATGCATTTGATTCAAGCGGATTAGAACTCCCATTTTTACCCCATATACACAAAGAAACATTATTTTAATTGGACTTGTTTGCTTTGACTCAAAGAATCTGCCGTCTTAAAAGATTACTTTAAAACATGCTTAAAAAAAACCAACACTTCTGAGACAGAGATAACCAAATTAAATAAACACTTGTGTACAGGTTGAAAGTTCCTAATCTGGAAACCAAGAATTCAAAACTGAACATTCCAGTGCTCACCTGATAAAGTTTATGCAGATATTTCAGAATATGAAAAAAATATGAAATTTCTAATTTTTTGGATCCCATGTAATTTTGGATAAGTGACATTCGGCCTGTACTATACTGAGTTAGGAAATAATTCTGTACTATTTATTTTGTCATTCTGTCCTGATTAGCATGCACTGTTGTATAACTGCCGTATTTGTATCCAGTTTCAGAGCTTTTTGGTAATCTTCATACCATTGCTCAGCCACTGTACCTCAAGTACTATGCTCTTCCTTGCAGGGGTCTCTCACCTGACACACCTTTGAGGGTCCGCCAGGCATTGTGAATAGACCAAGAACTAGGAGCTTGTAGTCTCATAGGAGAGATGGATGAGAAGAAAGCTGAAATATAGTGGCTTTAATAGGGCTATAGACAAAGGCTTATAGAAAGGCAGGCCCTTTTATTGGCTTTTAATATTTTCTTGATTTCAGATTCCTCCATTTAGGGTCTATAATTAGGAAATGATTTAGGAAAGAATATGAATTTTGTAGGTCATGTTGTAGTCAAGTGAAAACTAAAATAGCAATCAGGAAATATAGTATAGGGATCTTTACTGAAGAACAAATAAGGTGTTCAGTATGATGGTTATTTTATTTTATTTTTTTTAAAGAGAGAGTGAGAGGGGGAGAGAGAGAGAGAATTTTAATATTTATTTTTTAATCATCGGCGGACACAACATCCTTGTTTTGTACGTGGTGCTGAGGATCGAACCTGGGCCGCACGCATGCCAGGCGAGCGCGCTACCGCTTGAGCCACATCCCCAGCCCAGTATGATGGTTATTGTCTAGGTAGTATGATCAAGTAACCAGACATTCTGTATTGGTAAATTTTGTTCTTATTTATACACCAAGTATTTGTTGAACATTTCTTCTGTGTCTAAATATTTAAAAAAGAAGTGAGATACATACTCTGTGGAGAGATTAAAATAATGAAACACATGAAGCAGATACCAGGGTTGCAATTTGAATGCTTGGAAGGGCCAGGTCTGTGAGGTAAGGTAGATTTGTGGTGAGGTGAAAAGGGGTGTGGCCAGGACTGTAGGGTAAGGAGAGTATGTGTCCCAGTTTGACTTCTCCCTCCTCCCATTTCCACTTTGCTAGATCTTTCCATTTTTTAAAGAATAAGGCAGCCGATTGGCAATCTAAAAAAATTATTTTCCAAACTCTGTTACTGAGTTCAGAGAAGGGAGAAGACAATTTGAAGTTTAAGAAGGCTAAGGCTTCATTTGTTACTATAATTGGTTTTTCTGGTGTTGAAGAAAATATGTAGATATTATTGTAATTAGAGATGAAAGGCAAAGATTTCTTGGATGGATTTTAGCTCTTGCAGAGCTGGGGAGAGTGTGAGCAGGTTGGGGGCCTATGCAGCTGCTGCAGGCTCCATCAGAATAGCCCCACTCCTGTGGTCAGAGCAGACAAGGGGATGCAGACCTCAGGGCCCGTGGAGCGGGGACCTAGTTAGTTTTTTTTTTTTTTAATCACATCTGTGGAATTTCATTTCTGTTGAAGGGGTGGATCTGTTAAAACTCATTGAATGCTTACCTATTATGTACATTACATTAATTTTATTAATAAAAATAATATTTATATCTACAAGGCATCATGCTAAAATTTTTTTTTTTTTTTTTACACTCAGGAAATTAAAATGATCATTCTCATCCCCATTTTTTATTTGGGGAGACTGAGATGTAGAAAMAGAAGTGGTGGAGCCAGGATTTGAAACTAGGCAGTAGAGCCCACACTCTTGGTACCATGCCATACTGCCTTAGTCTGTCCTGAAATAGGAGGCTTGACCTAGTTAATATAAGTATATAAATAATTTTTAATATTTAAAAYGTCAGACACTGTTCTAAAAACTAGACTTTTAAATATAACTATTTTTTGTTCAATAGAAGCCAGAGAGAGGATTTAGCACCATGAGTTATATGGTTGATATTCAGAAAAATTATCTTTTTTGAAACTACAACCATCAATCTAATAGAAAAGTCATCAGAAAATTTGGATGTGGTTTCCTTATGTCTGATAATGGCTCAGGCAAGGCATCATTTAACTTCTCACTGCCATGTCAAACTGCATAGGGCAGCAGTATCTAAAATCTCACAGATGGTTCCAGAATTGTTAGAATGATTCAGTGAGTGATTTGTGCATAACATATCACTTGGTAAGGAGTTTAGTGTATTTGGAGAATATTTAAATATGRTTTTAATTTGTGTTTGTGTGTTTACATACTATAGGCACTGTTATCTTGGTTGTAAACTGTTTTGAACAGTACACCCAGGCACACTGATTACTTTCCATGGATTTACTTTGTAAGGAACATCATTGTTTTAAAGATACAGGGGGAGACAGGTGATGGCTCCAGATGAGTGAGAAGAAAATCAATATCAGATTTATTGTTTCATCTCTGAGCTGGCAGAACCAGGGAAGCTGTTGCAATGTCTGGATCAACATGTGATGTCAGGACAGGGACTATGGCTTAGAGCAACAGCTCTTGTGTAGCATATGTGAGAACTTGGGTTTAATCTCTAGCACCACAAAACAAAACAGAAAAACATACATGTTTTCATCTACCTCGTGGGGAAGGCATGTTGATAACTCTCAATTTCCTAAGGCAGCACATTGAACAGCTCAGTGGAAGGAAGATCAAATTTCAGTGTGGGGCACACTGCCACTAGATTTTGAATTCTGAAGAGGTCAGAACCTGTTCTTTTCCAGAAAGGAGGAGTAATAATTCTCTGATTCTATTTTTCAGTGCCGCTTGAGGGACATGACATATTCTGCCCCCATTACAGTGGATATTGAATACACCCGAGGCAGCCAGAGGATCATCCGCAATGCCTTACCCATTGGCAGGTAAGAAATGAAGCCCATACTGCAGTCACACTGCCTCAGTTCCAGACTTATGATGTGACCTTGAATAAGTTCTAAAGTTTTTGTTTGTTTTCCTTCATTTCCTCGTCTGAACTACGTAGGAAATGATACTTATTTCATGGGGTTATTTTTTGGATCTGATGAGCCAACACTTGTAAGGCATGTACAGAAATGCCTAGCTTAGAATTGTGGTCGTTATTAATTGTGAAACTTTTTCTGTAAAGTTGGGGAAAATGCTTCCCTTTCCTCCTTTGCCAAGATGTTTTTTTTTTTTTTTTTTTTAAATTTCCTGATTAGTTTTGATCGTCTCTTGTCCTTACACTTGGTTTCTCTGCGTTATTCCGAGTAACTGCATTCATGATACATTTATCATGAGTGAGGAGTTGTTGTCATTTCTGACTTTCACTAAAATCAGTATGCACAATTTAAGCTAAATGTTTGAGATTTTATTTTCTATGCTAGAAAAGTAGTGCCCTGAGAAAATTCTTTGTTTCCTGTGTCTCTTTCATATAATATTGTTCCTTTGCCTTTCTAACAGAGTGCACAGAAATGCAGAACCCTTAGTGATGTGTGCACCGCATGTATTGTCTTCTTTGGAACTTTTGCCAATGACTGTTTGAACATGTTATTTTCTTTTTTTTTTTTTTTTTTTTTTTAATTTTGAACAGGATGCCCATAATGTTGCGAAGTTCAAATTGTGTTCTTACAGGGAAAACACCAGCAGAATTTGCCAAACTAAATGAATGTCCTTTAGACCCAGGTATGTGCAATAGCTTGGATTTACCCCCTTTCATTTTTTTTCCTTTGTTCTGATGTAGCTGTTGTTTAACATTTTCCTTAAAACAATATCAGCCTTTCTGCCTTATAATGAACAATTTTGTATAAAACTGTGTTCACAAAACATCTGAAAATTTGGCTCCAGCTTTATTCTCTTAGTCTATATTTCTAAAAATATACTGTTTCCTGTTTTGAGTTAGATTTGAAATTTTAACACCCCAAGTTCTGACTTACTGCCATGGTTCATTAGTCTCTGCTTTTTATGCATGCTCAATGTTTTCTTTGGGGATGCTTAAAATTCAAGARTAATTGACCCAAGTTACTTGTCTAGCCTGGTTTAAAGTGGCTCACTTTAGGCTGTTGTAAGTACAGCAAAGGAGGGAAAAATTGGAAGTCTTTTTAGTTGTTGTTTAAATTTTAAAAATTATATATGTACTTATTTTTAGGCAGTTTCTTTGGTGAAGTTTCAAATGTAACACATAACAGAAAATCGTCTTAATACCTTAGCTCACATTTCACACTGACTTATTTTAACTTATAGTCACTTTAAGTCCTATATAGTTGCATTGATGTGGAATCCTAGAAGTTTTTGGAAGAAAGCTAATAGAACATGATTTTACTAGACTGTAACAAAATGTTTCATAAGTCAAATGTGTTGCCTTGTTTTACTTATATTCTGYAGGAGAATTGAAGTCTCGATTTACTCTGAATTGTGTGCAAAAAAATAAAGTGTAATGTTATGAGTTTTTCTAAATAGGTTATCTAGGAAATCTAATCTTAGTCGACTATAGTCACTGATTTGTTAGAAAACTTGGAATAAATTTCAGTTTATGTTGAAGACTGTTTGTTACTTTTGTGCTTAAGGAATCTGAAGTTTAATTTAGTGTCTTTCTTTTTTCATTTACATACTCTATGTGTCAGGGGATGGTAATATGGACACCAACAGGATATAGCCTATGTCCTTAAGAAGGGTATTATCTTGCGACTCATTTGTATGAAATCATGTGCTGACACTGTCATTCATCCAACATAAAACAATATCAGCAGCACCTTCAGGTTAAGTGATCACCAGTGCCACAGAGCATTGGAGATGTGATCTCTATCAGGAGATCCTACACTGTTCAGTCACATTAGCTGAAGAAAAGATGGTAAAACTTTCCTTGTTTCCTCTGGACAGGTGGCTACTTCATTGTTAAAGGAGTTGAAAAAGTCATTCTTATCCAAGAACAACTGTCTAAGAACAGAATCATCGTGGAGGCAGATAGGAAAGGGGCTGTGGGAGCTTCTGTTACCAGGTATGGGAAGCAGAGATAGTGCTGTTCAGATATGTTGATATTCCTAAATACCAGGTGGCTGTTGTCCTCTATGGAGACTGTCAGTGTTTCTGTCAATAGCAGATATCATGATTTTGAAATTATCTGCATTCAATTTACTGTGTAAGTCTATAATTTATAGGGTATTGATTGATTGTTTTGGATGCTGGGAATTGAACCCAGGTGCACTCAACCACTGAGCCACATCCCAAGCACTTTTAATTTTATTTACTTACTTTTTGAGACAGGGTCTTTCTAAGTTACTTAATGCCTTGCTAAGATGCTGAGGCTGGTCTTGAAATTGTCATCCTGCTGCCTCAGCCTTCTCAGTCACTGGGATTTCAGGTGTGTGTCACCGCACCCAGGTAGGATATTGATTTTAAAATTTCAATGATGAGTATGTGAGACAGCATTTGAAAGGTGACTATTTAAGTTGGATTTTCTATTAATCTATAACATAAAATGAACTTGTATAAAATAAAACATAACAAAAGTACTCCAGTTTTTCATGCTTATTTTCATTCTGACCATTTACATGTATATTCCTACATTCTTATAGGCAGARGCCATTTTATATTCATTATATAATGAATTACATCATAAACTTAATTTTCTAGTCTAGCCTCATTCACAATGTATTTGTTTTGTACAAAAGCATCTCTTATATATCATTTATGTAACCTCTTTTCTGTGTTTTATTCATGTCTTCACTTTTCTCTCTGATAGAAAGGCAGCTAACAGTAATGATAGTTTATCGAGCACTTACTAGCAGCTAGGCAGTATCTTAAGTACTTTAGTTTTATTTGTCACTGCAACTCTTCACGATTAAATGGTACCACCTCCATTTTATAGATGAATAATAAGCCCTGAGCTCACCTTGGTTGTAAGAAGTAGCCAGCATTTGAACCCAGATATAATAATTCTACAACCTACATCTTTCCACTATACACAGTTTTGGAGCCAGTCTGGATTTGAATCCCACAAGTGCATTTCTGACTGATACTGAAGAGGGCAGTTACTTAGATTCGTTTTCTAGGACAGCACTTCTAAATAAGTTATTATGTAAAAGATTAGTGAGTCGTGGTGCATAGTATGTTGTAGGTAATGAGTATGTTATACTATTGTGGTTGAATAGAGCTTCCAAATGCTTTTAAATTCATTAAGAATTTTAAAACTAACAGAGGTAGTACTAGAAGGAGATTACTTAGTGTTTTTGTGGCTTCAGTATATACCAAGACTGAAGGTGAGTCTTCTTGGAGTATTAATTTAACGTCCATTTATTTCCTCTTATTTCTACTTTTTTCAATGTGGCTTTGGGCCCATTTTTAGTTATTTCTTTTCAGTACATGAAAGTAGTCATGAATGTATGCCCTTCACTGGATAGAGTAATTCAGGTGAAGTTAAAGTGAAGTAAGTCAGGAGGTGACTGTCACTCATTTATCCACAAAGCTTCTACCATAATCTCAAAGCTAAAGAAAAATAGGTTGTTTTTTTTCCCAAATCCCACATACCGAAAAAAAGAAAGAAAAAAAAAAGAATTTTAGTGTTTTCAAATTAAACCTGGTTGATGGATGCTCATTATTACTACAGTTGAATGTTACTGAGTGAGGATGCAGCTTAACCAACTTGTATTTATGCATAGCTCCACCCATGAGAAGAAAAGTAGGACGAACATGGCTGTGAAGCAGGGGCGGTTTTACCTGAGGCATAACACCTTGTCTGAAGATATACCCATTGTCATCATATTTAAGGTAAGATTGCTGCTCTCTTTTGACACTAGAAAGAATTTTTTCTCTATTTTCATAGCTAATTAGAAGTTTGGAAAGTAAGGAATTCTAGGAGTAGAGGGGTTGGTGGCATAGATAAATTGACAGTCATATGATTCATCTTAAATTGAAAGTTAATAAAACTGAGGTTCATATATATTTTTAAAAATTATTTTAAAATCATTTAAATATTTTATTTGAAATGTTTTAGCATGTTTAAACATGCTTTTAAGGGTGTTTAAATCTTTTTAAAAATCACACATTTAAAAAATATATCTAAAGTATAGAAGGGTTATGTAGTAATGAGTAAAAGCCTCTACCCACCCTGTACTTAGCCACACAGTCCTGCTACCCAGAGTCCCCACAGTTTCTAATTCTTGTGTGTATCTTTAAGAGATAATTTTGTTTGAAACTTACATATAGTATTTTACAATTAGCTCTTTTTCTTTTTTTCTGTCTTACATCTTGGAGATAGTCTTACATTTGTCCATGTGGACCTACTGTTATTTTTGACAAACTGCTCCATTTATGTGGGTAACATAATTTATTTGACCAATCCTCATTCAGTGGACATATACATCTCTTGTTATTACACAGCTGCTGTAATATCATGTCATGCATGAGCATGGATATCTAAATTCCAGCAATGGAATTTTCTAGGTCAAAGAGTATAAAACTGGACATAGTGGCACATACCAAGTAAGGAATTCTAGGAGTAGAGGGGTTTGTGGCATAGATAAATTGACAGTCATATGATTCATCCATTTCTAGTAGTCCTGGATGCTTGGGCACCTGAGGCAGAAGGATCACAAGCTCAAGGTCAGCCTGGGCAACATAAGAAGACCCTGTTTCAAAAAAAAAAAAAAAAAAAAAAAGAAACAAAAAACAACTATGGGCCAAGTTTCTTTTCTTTTTTTCTCCCCCCCCCTCCCCAGAGACTTCTAGATTCTTGTAAATTTTTGTATAAACAATTCTTTAATCAACAACTAATTTTTTTCTAGCTTATTTGTAAATTTTTGGCTTAGAACCCAAAAGATACTTACTGTAGAAATAATGTTTAAATGGAATAATTTTCTCAGATATTTGCATAATGGTCCAGAGATATCAAAACTATACATGTTCTATAAACAGCTAAATTGTAGTATTAATCCATTAAGAAAAACAAAAGGATAGTGATATAGTTTTCATGAGTTCCATGTTTGTGAATTCACATATTTTCTAAAATTTATAGCCTCACAATCAGTACTGGTGGTGCTTCTTTGGTTGTTCATGGATGTGTACATAAACAGAATAGCAAGCTATTTGAGTCACCCAGTGCACATGTTCCTGTTGAGGTAAAGAAGGAAACACTTCGCTTTCTTGTTTCAGCTCCTTTTCCAGTATACTTAATGCCATGTTTTTGTATTTTTGCTTGTGGATTTGCTATATAAGATGACTCCCAAATATAATGCTGAAGGCATTGCTAATGTTCCTAAACACTAATGGAGAAAATATATATGTTAACCATTTAGTCAGGCATGAGATATGGTACTTTTAACTGAGTTCATTGGTAATGTGTCAACAGTGCATTAAGTAAGGTGTTTTTAAACACAAGTATACATCAGTTGACATTCTGTATTGATCAGTTAAGAAATATGTTGTTCCTGCAGTCTTCCAGGAACCTAACCCTGTATTTTCTCCAGGAGTAACAGTCCAATATGCTAATTAAGTGTAATTCAGCAACTTTATCAATAGAACATCMATGGATAATGGACGGCTATCTGGGTATAAAATGAAACCTTGATGGCTGGCTGAATTGAAATAGCTTCGATTATTTTAGAAGATACTGTACTTCATATAAATTTAGAGATTGATAATATTTATTTGTCATCATTCAGTTTTACTTTAGAATTAATACTTCAGTTTAGCAGTTATGATAGTGGAAATATATTTTGGGTCACATTGAGAAGCAACAGGAAGAGATCCTCTGAGATTGGAACTATCTAAATTGGAAAGGAAAATCAATGGGTATAATCTCCAGAGGAGTAAGAAAGAAGGGACTGAGTCTTTACTGTCAAAGGTGTCATTGGGTGACAGAGCATAGAGTCTGGGAGAGAGTCAAGACTTCTTCAGGTCAGGTTGGTGATTGGGGGCTAGAGAGTGTGCCCCCTGGTGGTTCATAGTATTGAAGGAATATTGACAAGTTGGGTTCTGTAACTCAGGAAACATGTCAATGCAATTATGTGGTGGGTATGGTGGCACATGCCTGTAATCTCAGAGACCCAGGAGGTTGAGACAGGTGGATCACAAGCTCAAGGCCAGTCTCAGCAACTTAGCAAGGCTCTAACAACTTAGTAAGACCCTGTCTCAAAATAAAAAATTTAAAGAGCTGGGGATATAGCTCAGTGGTAAAGCACTACTGGTTTAATTCCTAGCACAYACACACACACACATACACAAAAATACATTCAATTATGTGAAGGAAGGTCTAGGAAATTTTCTCTATATTTAATACAATTTAATGTGCTTTTGAGTTCTGTAAATGAGGTGGAACCATTTATTTTCTGTTCAGGATAATGATGATAATAATCATAATAACAGGACAATTGTAGTAGGGTCCAGAGAGAATTCTTAAAATATATATATATATATATTTTTTTTTCTTATTTTCTCTCTTTGAAGTTTTAATTTTTAAACACAGATGGCATTTTTGTTTTCCTTGTAGGGATCCCATAGTTCCAGACATAGTGTCTTAAAGTACATAGTGATGAATTAAAAAATTTTATCTAACAGTGTGGAATCACATCTCCAGCAGAGGGCAGTATGGTCCCACACATCCTGAAKGCATTTTTGAAAGTTTTAAATGCTCTTTGGTAGGATTGTTTTCTTATACCAGAAATTTTAAATTAAAAAAAATGGATTTAATCTTATATTACTGATATATAAAGTGTGTAAGGAGCAGCATGTCTGTGTAGAAATCAGAAAAAAATATTAAGTATTTTTTTGGCTCTGTGACAAAAGTTTAATAAGTCAGTTTCTTCTGTTAAATATAATATTTTATTGTAAATACATATAAATGTAATACATATAAATATTATAAATGTTTATAGCTGACTTAAGTCCTTTTTAGAATGGGGCTATTGAGTTAGCATAATTATGTAAGTAGTAGTTGAGATTCCAACTTTTTCCCTTTCTGAATGCAAAACATTTCTTTCATTGTAAAGATTTAGACAGCCACTGAAAAGTATGGCTACATTTTAAAAATTTTTCCAGACTTTCCCCCTGTGATTTTTGTAATATACACACAGTGTTTTTAAATAAATGAATTGTGAATAGTTTCCCATGTCTATAAATATGAATATGTGCTATCATTTTTAATATATGTGTGTATAAGTTGCAAATAAGGTATAATTTATTTTACCAATTTCCTGTTGTGGGACATTTAGGTATCATTTTTTTTCCTCAAGTGTTTTCACCCTGGGATGACTCTCARGATTATACATGTTTATGCACATTGCTGATATTTTGTGAGACTTTAGTTCTGGATATGGAAGTGTATTTTTTTTTTAATGCTTAGTACACATTGCTAATTTTTTTCCTAGAGAATCATCTGTTAACCATCTAAGTAGTGCATAAATCTTAAAATTTTTAAAATGTTAGTTCATATAAATGAACTAAATTTGGTCATAAGTAGTCACTTTTTTTGGTCTTTTTCACTCTAGGGATGTTTCAATAAATGGATGGGAATTTGTTGATAACCACTGTTCAGACTTTTCCAGCTGGGAAGCAGCATAGAGTATTAGACAGCTTCTCCACTTTCTAGCTATGTGACCTTGGGCAGATTTCCCAGTCTCTTTGAGTCCTGGAGACTTCACCTCTGGGGTGGTTGTRAAGCTCAGATGAGATCATGTAGTTTTTGAAAACAGAGTGCCTGGAAAGAGGATACCCTTTCCCTTTCCTTGCTTCTTCCTACCCACTTACTGTCAGAAGCTGAGAAAAAAAAGTGGGATGCCAGAAAAGGGACATCATTTCTCTTGACAGTCATTAGGACTTGATGGTTGTTGTTTGTAACCAACAATTGGCTAAAAGTGACAGAAACAGCAGGGTTTCCAGATTCCATGCTGAGTCTGAATATGACGGATAAAGCTTTTAAGACCTAGATCAGTCTTATTTATGGTCTTAAATTACTGCAAAGGTTTTCCTGCCCATGAATCTTCCCTGCTTTCTATTTTGTACTCCCAAGCGTTGGGTAGTTGACTATGGGGGCATCTGTAGGAAAGTTTTTCTGGAGAAGAGGATCCAATTTCAGAGATGCTGAGCATTGTTTCTTGGAAACCAACTTGCATGGAAATATTTTATCTTTGAAGAGAAACAGTTGTATAATTAAAGAGGGCCATCACAGATTTATTATCTGCTAGGACTACTCTGAGTAGTAATTGGTGGACTTTAGTTACTTTAAAGAAAAATCTGAGATTTCTGAATATTAGATATTTTAACAAATTCTCTCCTGTTTTCAAATAATAATTTCAACGAATCACCATTGGTGCACATGTCATTCTCTTCTGCTCATTAGTTTTCTTTTTCTTCTTGACTTTGTGTATCTGTGGATATCCAAGGAGAGGACTTCATGCCATTTTTAAAATCCCCCTGATTTTGTTTAGCATCATTGCTGGTTGCTAGACTGTGTGACCTTCTGATGAAATGTATTCTCTCTGCTAATTTTTTATAAAGTATTTCGTAACATTTATTTTTTGACTTATTAGTTTAGTGGAAATGATTTCAGGTTATCTGGAGTACAAAGAGTTCCAGATAAAGGTAGTTTTCAGATGTCTAAATTACGTCTGTAAGGCAAAATTGTTGGACATTTTGTTCGTTTCCATAGCAATGTATCATTTATTTGTAGCTAACTACTGAAGGCTAAATAGTCATAAGGTCAGTTCTATCTTTGGAGCTGAGGCGCTTTTAAAAAATTTTTTAAATGTTTATTTTTCAATTGTATTTAGACATAGTACCATTATTTTATTTATTTATTTTTATGTGGTGCTGAGGATTGAACCCAGGGCCTCACACGTGCTAAGTRAGCGTTTTACCACTGAGCCACAACTCCAGCCCCACTGGAGCACTTTTGATGATAACTTAAATGGTTATTGCACCTGAATTTCAGTGGGTTGATACAGGAAGACTTTCGTACTTTGTGGGAAAGCTTTGGCAGTATAATCACGCTTTCCACACATATGCTGTCACTTACATGAGTACTGTATACCTTTGTTTCATGGCTTAGACATATTTGGAAGGCCTAAGAAGTCCATGTTATACCACTTGAGAATTTTATGCAGTTACTTAGATTTAACATCAGGACAATTTGAAGTGGCAATCCAACTATCAAATGAAGAAGGTGTTTTTTTTCTTTCCCCATTATTATTGAACACCAAAATAGGCAATCAAATTTATACTTTTTTTTTTTAAAGAAAGAGAGAGAGAATTTTTTAATATTTATTTTTTATAGTTTTCAGTGAACACAACATACTTATTTTTATGTGGTGCTGAGAATYGAACCTAGTGCCCCGCACATGCCAAGGCAAGCGTGCTACCACTTGAGCCACATCCCCAGCCCCCAAACTTATACTTTTTAAACTTGGATATTACTGAAATAAAAAATGCTAAAATAATGTAAATGATGGTATGACGCCAATCATGTACAACCAGAGAAATGAAAAGTTGTGCTGCATTTGTGTATAATGAATCAAAATGCATTCTGCTGTCATATATACCTAATTAGAATGAATGAATAAATAAATAAATAATGTAGGTGGCTTTTAGTTCACATGATTTAGATGTTAATAAACCTAAAGAAAGTGGAAGTAATCTAGAAAGGTCTTTATTTCAATTCAAGATTCTATTTCTGCCTCAGACCTTTTCTTGCTGTGTGATTTTGCATGTTCTGTTTAGTATCTATCCCATATAGGTATCTGTTCATTTTGGGGCTTTCCTCTCAAAAGTGCATTGGTTAAGTTTTACAGCAAAGATTTTAGAGAAACATGAATGGATTCCACCACAGATAGTTACCTTAGCATTGTTTTTCTTATATTTGAATTTCATTGAAACCCTTAAAACATTATTTTGAGAGACAAGTAAAAATTAACCTACACTCTATGCAGCTTTTCATAGAGAAAAATTGTTTCCTAATACTTGTGACTGGCTACTTGCAGACTGAGGACAAAGTGTAGATGATTCTGTTACCATCAAAGTAGATTCAACTCATTGTGCTTGAGCTAAAAATAACCTAGTTTTTTTTTGTTTAAAAAAACAGAATTGATCTTTTTTTAGAATTGCTATCCTTTAAAAAGAAAGACTATTATTTTAATAAATTTGTGTTATTTTCAAATAGTGAGGTTTATCTCTAGTTTCATTTTGAATAAATACTTCATATCAAATCACAGGTTAAAATGCACACACAAAATTAAAAAGCGCAGAAAAGCTATTTGTGTCCTGAAAATTTCTTTGTTTATAAAACAAACAAAATTTAACAAATTAAATTAAAAATTTAAAAATTTTTAAGAATTCAAATAGCATATTTAATTCCAAAAGTTGTTGTATTAGTTGTCTGTGCTTTTGTAATTATTATAGTTTCTGTCGGTCAGGAATTTGAGGATTGCTTGACTGAGTAGTTCTGGTCATCCCAGTCACAGCTGAGCTGGGCTGCTTCCTTTGGGGCTCATGGATAGGCCAGTAGGGAGAAAGCCTCAGTCTTACTGTCTGTCAGTCGGAAGTTGTGGTCCCTCCCTACTAACTCTTCCCACAGACTGCTCTATTGTCTTCTTGATGTGGCAGCTAGAGCAAGGAGGAAGTGACCTGCCTTTTATACCCCAAACTTCTAAAGTTGTATATGCTGGTTCCTCATATCAATTTAGCATTCCCCCAGATCTTCAGAATTTTCGGGAACTTTACATCTGAAGATAAAATGAAAACTCTAGGGTGGGAGAAGGTGTGTGACTGTAGTAGTTGGGGTGTCTTTCTGCAGCTGGTGTTGTGTCAGGACAGTCACTTCTGACCTTAGGGATGTTGGATGGATGCTCTTTCATTTGTACTGAGGGTAGTGCCCTTGCTGTTCTGCATTGGGACTTGGGATTTGGTTTTCCTTTCTCTCCTTTGTGTGGAGGAGAACTGAGAATTAGATGGTCAAAGCTTGACTGAACAATTATCTTCAGTTCTGTCTTTTTTGGTTCTGTCTTGTCTGCAAAGCTAAAGGAAGAATTATAATGGAAATATAACTTTTCCCCTAACTTCTAAGAGACAGATTATTACTCTGCCAAGAGAAGTTTTGTGGATTATGCTGTTTCTCACCATGGCAGAGTTCCAGGTGACCGTGTGAAGAAGTAGGCTCTAGGACCATATGGGATCTATAGAAACTTGTATAGCTGTGCCACCTTGAAACGCTTTAGTGGATTTCTTCGACCTGTTAAGGGTGTTCTTAGTTTTTAAACATCTCTTTTAAGACCTGTATAAACTATGGTTTGATATCTCTAGAATTCTGAGGTAAAACATCTGCATTTGTTAGGAAAATTATTTTTGCCTGATAAGAGTGATTTGATGAGTCTCAGAAAAATTCATTTTRTGACAAAACTAATTGTGGTTCTGCATATTTTCAGTGGTGAACATTTTGAGGTTCACTATCCTATGGCTATTTTTCTTTTTAGTTTGCCTTTGTAATTGTGACCAGTCCTCTCCACTATACCTCTTGCCCTCCTTTTTTCATTAAGAAACTCTTAATATATTTGAAAATTTTAGAAGGTGGTACACATGCAAAAGATGCTTGAGAATGTTTGTTTTCCCTTCCTAATCAAAATTTCTGTTTCAGGTTCTTCTTGCAGCTTGGGCAATGGCTGCCAATGCCAGATGGCACTGTTTCTGAGAGAAGAGCTAGCTTTTGCTTAGAAGTAATACCCACAAACAATGCCAAATTAGCATAAGCAAATGTCAGTGAGTTAACACAAAGCAACACTCTTTCCATCTTTTCTTTCCTTCCTAGGCCATGGGTGTTGAAAGTGACCAGGAAATTGTGCAGATGATTGGAACAGAGGAGCAYGTGATGGCTGCATTTGGGCCCAGTTTGGAGGAGTGCCAGAAAGCTCAGATTTTCACACAGATGCAGGTGTGTCCTTTCATGATGTCCTTTGCTGCAAATTGTAACTAGAACTTTAATGTGGTTCATCGATAAGGCATCAGATGCAATGGCCTGATGATAGATTTGGGAAGGGTGTTGGGGAGATGGGATGAGTGGTAGAGAAGTTTCTTTGACGCAATTTTTTAGAGATTGAAGGAAGACTTCTTCATTCGGTCTAGACAGATTGTCAGCCTGTGGTATCTAATTCAGAAGGGAGATATATCCCCAAGAGACTTTTGTTCTGATAAAATGGCCCATATTATTTTTTCCCTTATTTACTTGAGTGATAATTTTTTAATAAAACTATAGCAATTCTAGTATAGTGGATTTTTTAATGCATTCTCTCTCTCTGTCTCTCTCTGTCTCTCTGTCTCTCTGTCTCTCTGTCTCTCTCTCTCTCTCTCTCTCTCTCTCTCTGTGTGTGTGTGTGTGTGTTTCTGGGGTGGTAACCCAGGGCCTCACATAGGCTAAGGGGTTGCTCTACCATTAAGCTATATCCCCTGCCCTTAATATCTCTTTCATTCTCTACTTCCAGTTGCTTTAGGCATCTAGTTGTATGTGGTCCATATCCCATCTCCTCAATTTCATACTACTTTCGATAGAAAGAAATGACCATAAATAGTACCTTTTACCACTTAGAGTCTTCAGTGACCTGCTTAGACATTCCTGGTCAAGGGAATCTTAGGACAAGACTTGAAGATAGGGAACTTTATATATGCTAAACAGAATAAAAATAATTCTACCTCCTTCCCATGTGGGAGAGCTGTAACTGCCATATTTAGGATTCATAGTCCCACTTTGGTAAAGTGCTTTGCTGAGTGTAAATCATTGGTAACATTCTTCATAGCCATCCTTGGGAGGTAAGAGTTCCCTATTATAAGACCATAGTACACAGTTCTTATTTGTGCATACATAYGTTACCTATTCTGTGGGTTACTTAAAATAAGACCTAAGTTCTGCACTGCTTTTTTTCTTGTCACCCAGGATGCCTATAGTCAYAGCATTCTCACTTGTATCTATTGGTATGTGTTCTGAAATCAAATCGTTCTTGATATTTTTATAAACTAAGCTAAACATTTAGGAATGTTAATTATCAAATGTAATTGTATATCATTCCAGAGCATAAATCAGCAGGGATTATGTCATCCCTGCCTTCCTCTTTTTCTGGATTTAATTAATAATTGACTCAAATAATTGGGCAAATAGCATCAGGAAAAGCTGTTTGGATTAGGAGAGTCTATATTTAGCCTGTGTTGGAAGGTGAAGTATTTGTAGATATGGATCTTTGTTACAAACTGAAAGAATATTGTCTAAGTGTTCTAAGAACATGAAGGAAAACTATTAAGAAATATCCAGGAAGTTGAAAATACAAAATTTATCCTGTGGACGGTAATAATTGGTTCAGTTTTATGAGATTCACTGTTCTTTTTTAAAATTTTTTTTTTTTATTTAATTGATTTTATTTTTTTAAATACATGACAGCAGAATCCATTATAATTCTTATTACACATATAGAGCACAATTTTTCATATCTTTATATATAAAGTATGTTTATGCCAATTCATGTCTTTATAAAATGTACTTTTTTTTTTTTTTTTTTTTTAGTGCCCTGAAAGTGATTTACCTTAATGGTACCCCAGTGACTTTAATGAGATCTGTTATGCATTTTATTGCAAACATCGTCATGTTTGTCAAATAGCCCTAAGCATTGTAAGGCTGTTTGAGCAGTGGCTAAATAGTGGATTGGAAACACATACATTTATTTTTGTTAAGTAGATACTGACAGAAAATTTCARCTAACTGAATTAGATCAAGTCCGTGAAAAGGAGGGACTACATAATTAGTTAAAATGAGAAAGGCAAATGTTCTGTTTCCCTAAACAGAAGGTATAACTTTGAAAGTGTTTATACTTTGCATGCTGGATTGTGGCATAGATTTATTATTTGCAGCTAATAAAAAGGTAGAGAGGCACAGGTTATCTGAGATGGTTGATCATTGAACATACATTGCCAGTTATAGAGACATGGATGTTTTGTGCTGTTCTCAATGAAGAGATAGCAAGTGCGTTTTTTTATGTAGTTGAACTTTTGAGGACTTGGCACTTTAATGGATTGTTTGAAACCTGCAAGTTTTCTTTTTTTTTGTTTGTTTGTTTTTTATGCCTCCCTTTTAAAAGTCTTCCCACTATTTCCTTTGTTTATGAAGCTGCCACTCTACGTTGGTTATACRTGTTTTACATCATCATTGTCAAGGGCTTTGGCATAAAGATAAGAAATTAATTTTGCCTTTTTGCAGGGGAATGTCATTTTGGCCTATTTGTGAAAAGGTAGGGCTCTTACTCTAGCCCTCACATGAAACCCTCCAGCATTACTAAGTATTACAGGGAAAAGGTGACTTTCCGCTCTATCAGAAGGATACCCTGTTCCTCTGTGTTCTTTTGTTTCTTCATCAATAAGAGAARAATTATTAACCTTTTTTCCCAAAGGAATTAGAAAGCAAAAATTTAATGAAGATAGCTCAGTTTAGAGAAAAAACAAACTGCCTGTATGCTCGTGATTCCCACCAACTGCTGAGTTGCTTTATTCATTTACTTAGTTACTACTTACTGGGAGGTGGTTGCAGCAAGTGTTTTCAGGGTCTTAATTTGCCTTATGCTCTAATGTCCTTTTAATAGGGAAGATTGTAGATTTGATGTCCCAATGTTGTATTAGGGGAGGGAGCCCCATTCAATTTCAGGCGCTGTACTAGACATTGAGAATCAAAGAGAAAAATGGCAAAGTTCCATCCTCAGAGTCTAGAAGCATACATGTAAGTAGATAATTAAAATATAGTGTGATGTGAACATGAATGAAAGTATTCTGGTTTTTTTTTTTTTTTTTTTTTTTTTATGTACAAGGAATTAAAATAGCAGAGAAACAGGAATGGGATTCCAAAGGTTTCAGAAAGGAAGTGATATCTCAGCTAGACTTTGACAGATGAAGAGGGAATTTTCAGCAGTAATGGGGCAGGATTCCAGGATGAAGAACCAGGATGTTAAACCTTTCTTCTGAGGAACTGAAAGCCAGGTTTTTAAAAAATACATTGTTGTTACAAAACAAAAAGAACCACATGATCCTCTTCTTTAAACACTTTTTATTATGGAAAAACTGTAACAAAATGTGAAGAAGGTTAAGAGCCCTCATGTGTCTGTCACCCACTGTCAGCATTTGACATTCATGTTCCACGGTGCTCTCCCTGACTTGATTTATTGTAGTTATTTATTCTTTTAAAGTAGTTTGTAGACACTGAGATGTACAAATCTTAAATGCTTTTCCTGATGAGTTTCACCTTTACCCTCTGATTTGTTTTCCATTATTCTGATATTTTCACCATAAATTAGTTTTGCCTTTTCTAGAACTTTACATATGAAATTAAGCAACATATTTTCTATTGTGTCTAGCTTCTTTTGGTGAGCATATTGTCTGATATTCATCCAAGTTCTTTTTTATTCCTTTTTATGTCATTTATCCACGTAGTTTGTCCTTCCTATTGCTGAGTGGCATCTCACTGTGTGACTACCATGGTTTATTGTGTTTCTTGTACTGATGTTCATTTGTTTGTTTTCCATCTTTGGCTATTATGAATAAGGTTGCTGTGAACAAATCCTATGTGGACATAATTTCGTTTCTTTGGGATAAATACTTAGGGGTGGAATTCCTGGAGCCCAGGGCAGATGTATATATAACTTTCATTAAGCTGGAACTGCCAAACCTTCCAGAATGATTCTACCACTTCGTGTTCCYACCAGCACGTAGGAGAGTTTCAGTTGTTGCTTCTTGCCAGTATTTGGTGTTGTCAGTTGTTGATTTTAGCCATCTTAGTGATGTGTTGGGGTATCTCATTGTGTGACTCACCCCCCATCCCCATGCTAGATATTGAACCCAGGAGTGTTTTACCACTGAGCTACATCCTCAGCCCTTTTTATTTATTTTGAGACATGGTCTCCCTAATTTGCTGAGGTTGACCTCAAACTTGCCATCCTCCTGCCTCAGCCTCCCAGGGAGTGGGGATTGCAAGTTTGTGTTTCTATGCCAGGTTCATTGTGGTTTTAATTTTCACCTCCCTGATGAGGACTGATGATGAACACTTTTTTGTGTATTGATCACTGGTGTTTCTTCTTTGTGAAGTGTTCAAACCATTTGTTCATTTTCCTTATCTATTTGTCTTTTTGTTCATGAACTTTAGTCTTTTAAAAAAAAATCTGGATATAAATCCCTTACCAGATTTAGGTATTGCAGTTTTTCATTTCTTACTTATTTTTCTCACTGTGTTATTTAATTTTGAAAAATGTCAAATTATCAGGAAGGTTTTTAGTTGTCATTTATAGTTACTTCTTCTGTACTATGTTTAAAAAATTATTTGCCTGTCACAAGATCAGGAATATATTCTGTTTTCTTTTAGAGGGCTTATAGATTTAGTTTTTATGTGAAGTTAAAAATCTGTTTTAAACTCATTTTTCCATTTAGGGTGAAGGTCAGGGTTCATTTTTTTTAACCTTATGGGTAGTTCATGATTTCTCCACCATTTGTTGGAAACACTTTTCCTTCCTTATTGAATTGCTTTGGCACTTTTGTCAAAATCAGTTGTGCTTATTTCATGGATTATTTCTGGACTTCTTATTCTCTTCCTTTTGCCAGCATCACACTGTTCTGATTACTTATAGTTAAAATCAGGTAATAGAAATACTCCAACTTATTATTCCAGTACTGTTTTAACTACTCCAGGTTCTTTGCATTTCCATGTATATAGAATCTAAAACTGCAGAGTCAACCTGTTTTTGCTTTTCTAAAACCCTCTCAGGAGTATTTAGAAATTATGAATTTATTAATTCATAAATTTATAATTTATAAATTATAATTTATAAATTCCTTTAGAAGGAATTTTAACAGTAAGCCATTTTATCACCATTGAATTATCCAGTCCATGAAAATGTCTTAACCCTCAAGTTATTTAGGTTTTGTTATCTCTGAGCAATGTTTTCTTAAACTTTAAGCATAGAGGATCTTTTGTGGTATGATTTTAATTTTTTTGGAGGGGAAAAAAGTACCATCCCACAATGTTACTTGTGCTTCTCTTTGAATAGAGAATTTGTGACTGCTTTATGCGTGCATGTATGCGCACACACACTTCTTTTTCCTCTTGGGTGTTTTCTGAATTTCCTGCAATGATCATGTTTGATTGTTTTTTAAAACATGTTTATTTTATTTATTTATTTTTTATTTTTAAGAGGTGCTGAGGATTGAACCCAGTGCCTCATGCATGTGAGGCAGCATTCTACCACTGAGCCACAACCCCAGCCCCATGTGTATGTTTTATAGAAGAAAACAATGTAAAAAGTAAAAAGGAAACTGATGTAAATTGTGTATTGAGCTGTTTAGTCACAATTCATGATAAATGTTGATTTTTGGTTACTATTGCAGCTTTCTCTACAACTAGGGTACTTATTTTTTTTGCTTATAATGTATTTGTGTATAGGTGCTTAATAAATGATCTCTAGTGATGTCGTTCAAACACTATAATCTGTTTTTTATAGGCCCTAAAATACATAGGGAATAAAGTAAGAAGGCAAAGGATGTGGGGAGGTGGACCAAAGAAAACCAAAATAGAAGAAGCAAGAGAGCTCCTGGCTTCTACCATCCTGACCCATGTTCCAGTGAGTAACACTTTTGCAGTGAATAATGATAATTATGGAATCTGTGAATTTCTGCTAAAGAATTATAACTAGGAGTTGTTGCTATTCAAAAGTCTGTTCTGAAGAGTGACTCTAAAAAGGACTGTCCTACCCCACCCATTACCAGAAGTTGTGTTCAGAATATCAGGTACACAGTTGCCATCATGATGTGTGTCATCTGGTAGTTCTTCTTTCAGTCTTACTGTTACTTTATATTCATATGATTATAGTGCTACTACTGACTGACTTTATGGCTTCAAAGGACAGCTCTGCTGACCTACCTGTTTTTAAAGGAAGGCAAGCTTATGGTTCTTTCCCACGAATTTTTTATTTAAGATTACAAAATATACAGAAGTTTACTGTTTTAACTGTGAAATATATTCACACAATTGTACGAACATCACTATAATAGATGATTAGGTATATTCTAAGGAGTGGGATAAAATAGATAGTTTTTGTTTGTTTGTTTTTAGTTGTTAATGGACCTTTATTTTATTTGCTTWTTTATATATGGTGCYGGGAATTGAACCCAGTGCCTCGCATGTACCAGGCAAATGGTCCACCACTGAGCCACAACCCCAGCCCTAAAATAGATAGTTTTTAAATGCTTTTTTGACAAATAAATATCCTAAACCTTGAATATTAAAATTTATGTTGTCCAACCTTCTTCACTCACAGCCAAAGCAAGAGATCAGGGTATCTGCTTGGACAAGAGACGATTCCTGGCCGATTAAGCTGGATGATTTGCCTTATCATCCCACATATTAGTGGTCAGAGGACTGGAAGCAACCTCTGATCCTTGAACTAGTGCATAGTAGTTATTTTTTATTAAACAGATTAATTAATTAAACAGATTAGCCATATTGACATGTGGCCTTTTGACAAGAATCACTCTCTCCCCCATTTAATACATGTGCTGCTTTTTATAAATCAGTTACTATATGTACCTTCATGAATGATCTGATTCAGGGGTTGCAGACTATCTTTAGAGCCTGATTTTAATGCTGGAAGATCAAGAGATCTGTGAAAGTGGAGAGTAGCCACAGGAGCACATTCACAAAACACCTTGTGAGCATACAACACAGGTCCCTGATTCAGCCCTTTGACTGCAGAGTGTCCTTGATCTAATCCAAAGAATTAGAAAATTCTTAATGTTAAAGCTGGGTCTGAACTGAATTTTAAGCTCTTTGGGATGATTGGAAAGATGGTTTGAAACTGAATTGCCATTTTGAAAGTTTATTTATACATAATGTGTTGAAGAATAGTCACTTTAGATGAACCAGGAAAATGACCTTCATTTTCCAGGATGGTTTAGGACAGTATTTACCTAAGTGTKATATAAAAGATGATTTTATGTGAGACAGGACATTTTGATTTAATTATGTATATATTTGAATGCAAGTAGCACATCCCCTTGGGCACAGTGGTGCACACCTGTAATCCCAGCAGCTCAGGAGGCTGAGGCAGGAGGATCATGAGTTCAAGGCCAGCCTCAGCAACCCAGCAAAGCTACAAGCAACTCAGTGAGACCCTCTCTCTAAATAAAATACAAAAAGGGCTGGGAATGTGGCTCAGTGGTTAAGTGCCCATGGGTTCAATTCCTGGTACCAAGAAAAAGAGTAGATCCCTTTTTGTGTGGTTTTTGACTTTATATGTTATTACAAAGGATGAAGTTTACTTTGAAATGAGTTGTTTAAAGATGATTAAAAATATTAAGTAAATAATTCTTACAGAGATAAAGCAATACTCTCAGTGCTGGAACCTGAACAACTAAATTATGGAAAAGCACTGGTTTAGATGTATCCACTAAGAGTGAGAACGATGGGAAGGACATCCAGCAGTTCTGGCCCATGTTCTTGAGGGTAGTCTACAGAGGAACTTCTACTYGATACACTTATCTGTAAATTCTTTGAGGGTTGAAGTTCTCAAAGAGCATTTCCTTTGCCAGTAGCATCACCATTATCTGGGAACTTGCTAGAAGTACTGTAACTCTACCCAGTACTTACTGAATCTGAATCAGAAACTCCAGGGTAGGAGTTTGTGTATTTTAACATGTCCCGCCACAACCCTGCCAGGTGATTCTTATGTATAGGMTAGTTTGGCTCCAAAACTCCTCTTTCTTTCAAGGGTAGTGTTAGAACTCCAAGAGTTCTGTTGACAGTAATTCTGTTTTAGCATTTCAAGTTTTTTGTTAGTTCTTTCTCTCCTACTTTTGGATAATCCATATTTTTTTTTCAAACTGTATCCAACTTTATTAAAGATACTTTTCATAAACAATCATGTTATTTCAGGCAGGACATGGGCAGACAATCAYTWACAGTATACAACAACTTTCAAACTCCCTTCTTGGATGGACTACCAAAATCAGAAAGCCACTATAAAACCCAATGAAGTCTTCATTTGATGCTCTGAATAGGGAAAGTTTATAGTGAGGGTTGACATTTCACATTTAGCATGTTGTTTAACAACTTTTCACAAGCCGACCCTGACTTTCAGGAAATGAAAGGAAAATGGCAAAAATTATTAATCTAAAGATCCACAATCGGGCTGGGGATGTGGCTCAAGCGGTAGCGYGCTCGCCTGGCATGCGTGCGGCCCGGGTTCGATCCTCAGCACCACATACCAACAAAGATGTTGTGTCCGCCGAGAACTAAAAAATAAATATTAAAAAATTCTCTCTCTCTCTCTCTCTCTCTCTCTCTCTCTCTCTCTCTCTCTCTCCTCTCTCACTCTCTCTTAAAAAAAAAAAAAAAGATCCACAATCTAGAAAAGGGACTGCTGCTCTTCTGAGGGACACTGTTCTCAAAGACATCACTGGAAAGTCCAGATTGCCCCACACACTAGTAAAACCAATCGTTGGGAATCAGGTCCCAGCAGGTCTGAGTTTAGGGGAGTTAAGTCTATGCCGATGGCAGAGAGGGACAGGAGGACGTATAGATGAGTTTGAGTTTTTCCATAGCATTTGTGCCAAGGTGGCTATGTGTGCCAACATCAGGGAATCCCTTCCTCTTGGGAACAAAGAGGAAGTCTCTCCAAACTAGAAAGGAAAGGTGTTTTCCCCCACAGCAATCCAGCTTTGGAGACATTCTACTAGTGACATATGCTCCTTCCCCCCGCCAAAACAACAATGGAGTGTTCTTTGTGCTAACAACATAGCTTTAAAAAAGTAAAACAAAATTCTGCATTTTTATAAAACTTGATAAAAAATAGTATTTCAAACTGTACAGTCACCAGAAGTACACAGTTACCAAAAACGCACACACTTCACTTGGCATCTCCAGCACCTCAGCTGTCTGTGCCTGGTCTGTTTGGGCATCTCCATTTTCTGCCGGGTTATTCCCATCCTTGCCAGCGTCAGCTTTTCCCTTTTTCCCTTTGGGTACCTTCTCTCCCTTCTTTGCAGGGGCCTTTTTAGGCTTGGGCTCTAGCTTTGGAGGAGCAAGTTTGGCAGACAACCTTGCAGATCTTTTCTGTAGTTCGTCTTTCACCTTGACTTTATCCCCTTTAGCATCCCCTTCAGCCTTTCTCTTGGGCAATGGTGGCRACAGTGGCGGGATGCAGTCGCTGGACACGGGGATGCAGCGGCACTCGGCTTTGGTCGGTCTGGGGGCCGTTCTCGCTTCTTCTTCTTCACACTGCTCAGGCTCCGGGGGGTTTATAAAGTTTTTATAGCACTGGAGATAATCCATAAATTAACGTCCCACAATTATTGGTATTCTACCAAAAATTGATGACAGCTACTAGATAGAGGAGTGTTCCCACTCACAGTATGCCTCGGAAGAGTCCTAGAGAAATGGTTCCTGTGGTTTACAGGGCTTCACCTAAAAYTGGAGAGGGAGTTCTCATTTTAGGCCTCTCATGAGGTTGCAGATAGATAGCAGTTAAGACTGGAGTGAGCCAGAGGCTCCACTGGACATCCGAGATGGCCCCCTCATTTTCATCAGAGCTCCTCAGGCACTTACATGTTGCCTTTCCTCCCACCATACTGTTTGGACATCTTTTGTGATATCTCAGGACTCTATGAAAAAGGAAAAGAGGTGAAGATTGCAACTTTATTTAAGAGCTGGGGCCAAAACTGATTTGGCATAATTTCTGCTATATTTTGTTCATCAGCCTAATCACTGMCAATCCAAAGGGGATGATAAGCTCCACCTCAAATGAAGGAGTGGCATGAGATAAGCAAGAAGGGAAAGAGTTGATAGTGGCCATCTTTGAAGAAATGTTGTCCAGGTACTAAATACAAAGAAAAAAAGTTACCATCTACCTCTTGGGAACTTTCTAGACTAGTGGAATTTCTTTGAATCAAGAGAATCATAACAACTCAGTGCTTTCTTATTTGAATGATATAATGATTCTTTAGGCATCTTAAATTTTAGCTTTAGCTTACATTGTCTCTAAATTTTTCTATAATTTCTGAATTACAGGTTAAGGAATTCAATTTTCGAGCCAAATGCATCTATACTGCAGTGATGGTCCGAAGAGTTATTCTGGCCCAAGGAGATAACAAAGTTGATGACAGAGACTATTATGGTAATAAGCGGTTGGAATTGGCAGGACAGGTGAATTAATTATTTTATTTCAGAAATCTTATTTCCTTTAATAAAAATTAGTTTGCGGGGGGCGCTGGGGTTGTGGCTCAGTGGTAGAGCACTCGCCTAATACATGCAAAGCATTGAGTTTGATCCTTGGCACCACATAAAAGTAAATAAATAAAATAAAGGTGTTGTGTCCAACTCAAGTAAAAATATATAAATATAATTTTTTTTTTWAAATTAGTTTGGTATTCATTTTAAGTAGGAGAAACAGAGACATTTGAATGGAATATAGGTTGCACATGTTTGAAATATAAACTTTTCATACAGGATTGCTTTATTTTCAGCTTAAGAATTTCCTTATGAAAAATCAACATTAATTCTTTAAATATGTTGATTCCCTGTAATGTTTGAAGTGAAATATGACTTTAATCATGTATTCAATTAACAAATATGTATTAAACAACTATTATGATCTAGGCATACTCCTATGTACTGGTTAAAGACAGAAAAAGATCCCTTTACTCTTAGTCCTTATATTTTAGTGGGACACAGAGAATAAACAAGTGAACCCCCCTTTATCTCTTGTTGGAAACATGATAGAAAAGTAGGTTAGTGAGAATGTCTGTAATCGCATTTTAAGCCCTAACTCATAAATGCCATCTCATTTTGAGAGTGTATATCCCTTTTACTGGGTAGCAAGTACCTGATAATCTTTGAAACTTTATATCTTGGCATTTGAATCACAAATTACCATTAAATTAAAGATCTAGAGTAGAAACCCACCTGTTATGGACATGTTTTCTTTTTCCTTGGTTTTTTTAAGTACCTTGGTATGACTGCCTCTGTTGTTATCCTGTGTAGTAAATATTTTTTTAATCAAATTTGTGGGCTTTACTCAAATATCTTTTTTTTTTTTTTTTTTTTGGTTTTGTTCTATTCTGTTTTCCTTTCCTTCTGGCTCTAATTATTAGAACTTTTGATATAGATGTTCTATTAATTTTTTTTCTGTTCAAATTGGGTGATTTCTCTTGATCTATTGTCAAGTTTACTTGCTGTCTTTTATGTCATATATTGTTATATATATCCAGCTAATTTTTTGGTCTATTTTTCAATTCTAGAAATTTCATTTGAATATATTTTCAGAGCTTGTTTCTCTAGTGAAATGTTTTCTTTGTTCATACATGACAACCATACCTTTATTTATATCCTTGAATTTTTTAATGTCTGCTTTAAAATCCTAGTCTGCTAATTCTATMATTTTGGTGTCAGTCTTTTGATTTGCTTTCCTCTTGAGTATGGTTCATGTTTTTCTATTTCTTGTTATGTTTGTTATTTTGGATCSTATCTTGATAAAGTGTTTGAGTGTTGATGGTGAGGAAAAGCATTGCTTTTGTCAGTATAATCAGGGAAGTTCTTCTGGAAAAAATGATATATTTTTAGCAAGCCTTCAAATATTCAAGCAGAAACTTGAATGATGAAAAGCCAACCTCATGCAACCTGGGGAATTAAATTCCATCAAGAGAGACAAGCAGGTGCACATCTCCCAAGGCAGAAATGAGTTTAGGGACCAAAGAAACTAAACTGAAAAGGGTCAACGTGGTTGGGGAGAGTGAGGTGAGGTGTGAGATAATATTGGAGACATAGACAGAGACTGGATTATCTAGAGCCCTGTAGGCCATGGAAGGGGATGTGGATTTAGTTTTACTTGGAGTAGAAAATGGCGGGTGGTAGGGTTTAATCCGGGGACTGATAYGATTGAATTTTAGCTTAAAAGATCTGATTTAGAGACAAACAAGACAAGAGTGGATACGCTAGAAGGTGGTGGCAGTATTCCAGATGAGAGGTGGTGGCAGCTGGGGTAACAGCAGACACTACCACAATTAAAATTAAGAATTAGAATTCAGAAGTTATAGCAAGTTTTGTAGCCCAGTGCAGTGGCACATACCTGTCATCCTAGCTACTCAGAGGCTAAGGCCAGCTTCAGCAGTTTAGCAAGGTCCTGTCCCAAAATGAAAAATAAAGAGATCTGGAGTGATGTAGCTCAGTGGTAAAGTGCCTGTGTGTTCAATCCCTCAAAAAGAAGTTATAGCAAGTTTTGGTTTTGGGACGAATTAGTGTCTACTGGACTCTAGGGAAACTGTTTGGTAAGAGCAGATGATTGACAGGTCTGCTTTTGATCACATTCTTATTAACCATAGTGCTGGGGTTTATGGTGGTGGTATCCTACTACCAATGCCAATTTTTAACTTTTTTAATTGGAAAAAAAAGTCATGCTGTTAAATGAGTCTATGAAAAAGAAGTTGATTGTCTAGAGGAATAAGGAATGGAGTAGGGTGAGGGGGAAAGGAGACTATCCTGTTGCTTAAGAAATTAGAATTAAGAAGAGGGTTCCCTTGTGCAAGAAAACATAGCTTTATAAACAATGTAAAGACATAAAAGGCATTGTGTTGGCAAAAATGTGTAAAAACAAGAGCTGCTAATTTCACACCCCATGGGATGAGGGAGTATAAATGTGCTTCAGCTTTAGATAACAGAGTTGTCTCCACTGGCCCAGCTGGTTCACAGAGCTTTTCCTCAGTCTTATTGCCACCAGAGGGTTGGCAGGCCAGCCGCCAGTAGAGGTGTTAGCAAAACCTACCGATTTCAGGCTTAATCTTTTCACCTACCTTTTCTTTTTCGGTAATGTGTTCATTATTTGCTGCACATTACTCTATTCTTTGTCTGCAAATTTTTTTGTTTCTAATGCAGCTTGCTTTGTATGGGTGAGATATGGAATGGCACCAAAATCCGGCACCCTGGAAAGCCAGGGATTTCCACCCTGCGACAAAAGAATGCCGTCTTGACTTCAGAGATTGCCTAATCCCAGCTGTTCTGATAATGTAATTAAGGCTGCCTAATGTCTTTAATTTTGCAACCAGTTTGTGTGAAAAGGAGAATTTGGCACTCTGAAGGCTTAAACACTAAATAGCAATCTCAAGACGCCTAATTAGAATTCTCTGACATTAAGCTAATTGGTGAAACTGTATTTCAGCAGCTTAACTTCTTTATTAATTTTTTTAGCATTTTCATTGAAAATCAATTGATGAGCTGTCAGCATATTTTCCTTAAATTTGATTTGCTCAATAGTGCTCCTGTCTTAAGCAGACAGAAAGGCCTCAAACTAGCAATGAAAGGTATTCAATATTATCACCAGCATTCCATCCCTTTTAATCATTTTCTTCTTGACCTAAATAATGTGGTTTTTTTTGTGTGTCTTGGCCTTGTAATTTCTCACTGCTCTGGTAACTGGACAACATTATTTCTCCTAAATTGAAAATGTAAGAGTGGAGAAATTTATTAATGAGGCAGTTTTTCTGTTGACTGTGCTCTTAGTTTTCACTTGTTTGGTACATTTCCTTGCGTTTGAATTAGGTGGCTGCAACAAATTCAGCTGGGAGCCAAAAAAAAAAACTTTGTCATAATTTGAGACAAAAGTGTCTAAGTGTAGGGAACTAATTAAAAGAGAACTGAGCTTTTGTGGTGTAGGTTAAGGGCATTTGATTCTGTTCAGGATGCTTATTCAAGTTCTTTTTGCCAGTTTCCACAGGAAGTGGCTGGAATGGGCTTCTTCATCCCCTCTCACCCCTCTGCACCTGCTTCCATTCCTATATTCTTTCTTTCCATGAGTGAAACTGCTGGGTCTAACTGTAAGAAAGGATTAAGCTCTCAGAGGAGGAAGTTTTCTTTTTAGAACACTCCAACAGTAAATTCAAGTCCCAGATCCTAGCTCCCCTATCTGCAAAGTTGGTTTTAATAGAAAAATAGAAAGATATGTCTAGTTTAAGGAGGAAAAGCATAAAATTTAATCCCATTTAAGAAATTCTTTTTCAGAACTAACTAGAGGGGAAGACTCATTTACTTTGAATATATTCTTCATTGAGAATCAAAAAAATTATATTGTTCATTGTAAACGTTCACAAATGTAGTCAGTATGGAATTTGGCAAATCTTTAGTTTAAATTTCACTGAATATCAGAATTCTTCTTTATGTTAATAATTAGTATAAATGTAATATCCCCATAGTACTGTCATGTTTTATTAGTTAATTTAGATCAGATCACAAATATATTGAGCTTTTTTTCTTGCTCTGTAAAGAAGAAAATAATGCTTACAAAGGAAAGAATAGGAGCTAGCTAGTACAGTTAATTTTCAGGGGGATTTATTACTTGTAATATCTATTATGTTTATTATTAAACAAGTGTGCCCATTTTTTATTTTTGGTAAGCCACCTTCTTAGTTTTTCCTCTTTGTGAATTTAATGTAGCTGTTGTTCTGGTTATCTGTTGCTGTGTCACAGGCTATCCCACAGTGGCTTAAAACAACCAGTTTTCTTAGATTCCATGATTTTGCAGGTCAAGTGCTCAGGTAGGACTTGGCTATTTGATACTTCTGTTTCCGGTGTTGTTGAGGGAGGTCATGGGTAGTATTCTGCTATGGGACTCCAGGGAGAGCTGAAGGTGAGGTTTAGTGAGGACCTGGCCTTTCCAGAGTTGTATCAGGGTGGCTCAGTACTCCTGAGAGTGAGCAAGACGGAAACTGCATGACCTTAGTGCCTAGTCCTCAAAGTGACACACCACCACTCATCTTATCCTGTGGATCAAAGTAATCACAACTCCCCCACCGTGTATTTGGATCTTTRGAGTACATGAGGCACATCTTTCAATGTGTATGGAGTTTAGGAGTCAGCTAGATTTGGGTAAAGTTTATATACAGAATTCAGGGGTTTCTTTGTGTGGTTCTCTCATTTCTGAGATTTCCCTTTACTTTCCAGCTACTCAAATCCACTAGCTCTGGTTCTTCATTCAGTATCATTCAGYGATACTCACACACTAATTTTTGCCTTCTAGTGCCTTCAAGGAGTTTTAAATGTTTTGTCCAGACTTTATTATCTGTAGGGGAATCCATCTATTAGAAACTATTACACAATTCTGGAAACAGACCATCTTACACTGTTTTTGTAAATTCCTGTTTTCATCTCATTGATTT